TCTGCCTCCTTCCCCGCACCCCCCCACAAAAGGCCCAACGACAGAAAGTAGGCAAGAGTCGACTGTAGCTGGTCTCCTTGCCGACTCAGGAGTCACCTTTACCCCCGACCCCCAACGCAAACCCACCTCGTTGCCCTTCGCTGTCGTCGAGGTCCGTGGAACCTTGGTGCTTGGGCTGTGCTCCACCCTCAGTCTGCCTTCTGTCAAATTTGGCGACTTAAGCCCAGAATCCACCTTTCCCCTGCCTTGTGTTACCGCTCGGTCCTTTCCTCTCACACTCAGCCTCTGCCAGTTAGGTCCCAACGTGGAATGGAATTTGATAGCTGGCCCCATCGCTGCTAAGGTTCCCGTGTGACCCTCCCGGTGCCGAACCTCATCGTCGGGCCATTGACACCGGCCCCACTGCATTGTCTCAGGCTGCCACCAAGAACGTGGCCACCCACAGTGTGCCCTTTCCACCTGCTTCCTAGTACCTAGAAAGGGGTGGGGGGAGCGTGGTAAGGCGTGTGCTGGTGCAGGCCCTGGAGAGGTGACCGGACCCCCCTTCTGTGTGTGTATGTTCCTGAATAAAAACCACCAAGCTGTCCCCAAACAAACAAAAAGGCAAGGAAGCCCAGCTAAATTTTGAATTTTCCCACCACGAATACTTGAAACGTTTTTGGACATCGGCTCAACACCCTCTTGGGTGTTGCCCTGGCCTTGCTGGGGCCCTCAGCACGCACTCGGTCTGCCTGCGGGTAGTGTGGCCCTGGGGCCCCCGCGGCAGGGGGAGGGGCGGTTGAATGTGGAGGCACAGAAGCCTTCTCTTCTTCATTTAGTGTCTGGGTCCCGTGTCCTGAAACAGGATGGTGTTTATCAGAGCCCAAACCCGGGTCCATCCTCAAAACAGGTGCCAATTTCCCAGGTTCTTCTGACTTGAAGGAAAATCGGACTCTGCACATCACTGTAGCCTCTCTCTGCTGTCACTGTCATATTAGCTTTGTTGTGCTAACAACCACTCCCAAAACTCTGGGATTGGGGCAAGCTTTTTTTTTTTTTTTTTTTTTTTTTTAAACTCCTCTTTGTTGCTGGGGGCTCTCCTGGATAACTGAGGCTGAGGGAGCATCCCTCTTTGGGTCATGGAATTCTCGGGGCAGAAGGAAGAGAGTAGGAGAGTTTCTATTTGGACAAATGTATATCATGTCTGCTCCCGAACCGTGGGCCAGAGCCAGTCACCCAGAGCCCTGCCAGCATTCTGTCTGTCCAGCCATTCATCCCAGGCTGTAGCTTTGAGAGGTGACCTGGCATGGGCAGCAGATGGGTGCCTAACAAAGATCTAGGTCCTTTAGGGATACTTTGGGAGGCTCAGAGTAGCGGGAAAGCCCCTACCAATGGTGTTGCCCGTGCTGTCCATAAAAGGACTCTGTGGGGTGGCCTCACCTTTAACAAGATGCTTCCCAACACCCAACCCCCTAGACATCCATCCTCCTTCTAATGCTCAGTGTTCTTAGTCTGCTCGGGCTGCCCTAACAGGACACCACAGACTTGGGGGGTGGGGGGGGGGAAGGGCCACTGACACAGCAGAAATCTCTTTTCCCACAGTTCTGGAGGCTGGACATCCAAGATCGAGATGTGGGCAGGGCGGGTTTCTGGTCAGGCCTCTCTTCCTGTCCTCACACGGCCTTTCCTCTGTGTGTGTGTGTTCCTGTGGTCTCTTCCTCTTAACAGGACACCAGTGCTATTAGATGAGAGCCCACCTGTAGGACCTCACTTAACCTGCATTTCCTTCTGGGGCCACATACAGTCCCTCTGGGGGTTAGGGCTTCAACCTGTGCACTGAAGCAGGTGGGGGAGCAGTTCGGCCGGTAAGCCCCAGTGCCCCTGGGATAAGGCAGCTTTCACGTGCATCATCTAATTTCTTTTTCTCAGCAAGCCTGTGAGGAAGTTATCAGCAGCATCACGTCCACTTTACAGATAAGAGAGAGGGGATGACTGGCTGTTAAGTAAACGATTCTGGACTGGAACTGTTTCTTTGACTCCAAAGCACATGTTCTTTGAATTGCAGCATGGGGTGTGGGCCTCCTCAACATTGGAAGTGAAATACTGTGCACCTGCTGAATTAATAGCTATAAGGGTTACATATACAGAAAATAAGTACAGGAAATAGACCACAAGAATGTATGTGCTGTGTGGGTACAACCCACGTAAAAAAACTATGGATAAAACTTGAAAAGGAACTGAAAGCACGAAGCCCTTGGCCTTCAGGTTCTTTTTTGTGTTAGAGTCGACCTAAGACATACATTGTTAAATAACAGACTCTTAGCTCTCAGCAGGCACAAGGCCGTAGTGTTTCACAGGCCTCCTCTTCTTGAGTCTGCTCAGCCCTGCCCCCGCCCCCAGCGCCCCCCCCCCCCACCGGCTTCCCACGCGGAACACCTGCTCGAGCTCATGTCATGAGCAAGGCAGGTGCCTGTGAGTCCAGAAGGCCGAAAAGCTCAGTGTAGTTTGGAAGAAGACCAGCTGCTATAGGGGCAGGGGGCTTCAGTAGTGTCTCGCTGAGCACGAGAAGAAAATATCCAATGTTGGCAGAGACCATCCCCCGCCCCCAAGCGGAGTCCAGGTAGCAATACAGGATTTGGGCCCATGCATTTGGTGACTGCAAAAGAGGCGAGTATGAACAGCAAGTATGTGTGTAATAGGAAGTCTGCCAGACATTCCAAGAACTCTCTGCTTTTCTGGAACCCCTTCTAGAGGCCCTCAGCCCCACCTCTGTAGGCCGGTCTCCGTACCCGAGACTCCTAGCTGAAAGTGTGTTTCCAAGGACATGTAACACCACTCAGGTGAATATTGGTCCTATTACCAGAGAACCCTCCCTTTTACCCTGGAACAAAGTCATCTGTCCCTCGTGTTCCTGTGTAAACAGGTTTTGAAAACCGTGTAATGTGGGTGTGCGTCCTCTTGATTAACAAGGTATTTCAATTTGTCACTCCCTGGAAGATTATGCTGTGTTGTCGGAGATCAGCACCCAGTTTACCCATCACAATGGCTGTTTTTCATGCCCTCAGAAGTTGTTCCTCACAAAGATCTCTTTGTTTTAGGAGATGACAGATTTGGGTTGAAAAAGAGATTAGACGGGACACCTGGGTGGCTCAGTCCATTGATCGGCTGACTTCGGCTCAGGTCATGATCTCGCGGTTTGTGGGTTCGAGCCCCGCGTCGGGCTCTGTGCTGACAGCTCAGAGCCTGGAGCCTGCTTCGGATTCTGTGTCTCCCTCTCTCTCTCTGCACCTCGTGCTCTCTCTCTCTCAAAAATAAACAGAGAGAGAGATTAGAACTCTTAGACTCAATTAATTGAGACATTGTATCAGCCTGCTCTGGAGAAATAGGAGGCTTTCCCAAGTCCAGTGTGAGAAAATCCATGTTTAACAAAGAAAAAGTAACCACCAATTCTTAGCTAAAAGAAACAGCTCCCCTATAAAAACATCCTCTGTTATAGGATTCCTATCAGAGCAAGCTATTTATACATGATTCAGTTTAGATAAAAGAAAACCTGCTTTCGTATATTTCACAAACTCATCCATCCCTTGTGTAACGTTATATATACACTACGCGCACATCATATATGTGATACAGTGGTCCAGCCTAGCGTTTGGCCTTTGACAACCAAAAAGATTGCCTTTTATGATGCCAGTCTCAAAAATGTTAAGAATGTACCCCCACGGCACCTGGGTGGTTCACTTGGTTAAGTGTCCGACTCTTGATTTCAGCTCAGGTCATGATCTCTCATGGTTCATGAGTTTGAGCCCTGCGTCGAGCTCTGTGCTAACAGTGTGGAGCTTGCTTGGGATTCTCTCTCTCTCTCTCTCTCTCTCTCTGTACCTCTCCTGCTTGTCTGTCTCTCTCAAAATAAATAAACTTAAGAAGAATGTACCCAAGCCTCCCTTAAGAAAGGATTTCAGATTTATTGACCACGGGTTTATCTTGAATCTGTTTATATTTTCATTTGTGCCATTTTGGGGAATAATGAGTTGCGCATTTTCAACTTGTGTTGAGGTAGCATTCTTTTCTCTTTCCTTAACTGAGGGGTTACAGACTCAAACATCTAACGTAGTAAGTCAGTTGGTGGTCTGGTGTAAGCATTAAAAGCACGAGAACGGGTGTCCCGCCTACAGAGAGCAGCCACTCTCGATTTCAGTCCATTCTGCCACATGGGAAGGTGGGACTGGCGTGGCCTGGGTGTTCAGATTTTTCCCTAGAAGCCTCAGACCTGAATTTTTAAACATTGTCAATTCAATTGGAAATTTAAAGACCCTGTGCAAAACAAATAACCTACAGTGTGTAGGTATTCCGGTTTATTTCTGGATACTGTGTATCTGTATTTCTGGATACTATGTATATATATTTCTGGATGCTGTATTTGTATTTCTGGATACTCTGTGTGTGTGTGTGTGTGTGTGTGTGTGTGTGTGTGTGTGTGTGTGTATACGCATTTCTGGATACTGTATCTGTATTTCTGGATACTGTGTGTGTGTGTGTGTGTGTGTGTGTGTGTGTATACACATTTCTGGATACTGTATCTGTATTTCTGGATACTGTGTTTGTGTGTGTGTGTGTGTGTGTGTGTGTGTGTGTGTATACACACATTTCTGGATACTGTATCTGTATTTCTAGATACTATAGGTATCCAGCTTACCTCTGTCTGAAATAGACCTCTTGCGTTTCAAGCATACTTCTGAGTGTCTGGGGTGTGATGTATGAACCTGTGGTCCTGCCTCATAACTGTGACAGCTTTTAATATATCATCGATTTGGCCTTCATCTTAACACACTAAAGACCGTTTTCAGTTATTCTGCACCCCTACAGAAACAGCCCCACGTGCTCCGTGACTGTGTTTACCTTGACTCGAGGCACAGTCATAAACACTCGTAAAAATCCGAATCTGCATTTCATCTGCCACCGCTGCTGAGGTGAGTGTGGCGATTTCATGGTCACAGGCCGACTCCTCTCCCTTCTTTCCGCAGCCGTCCCTGCACCAGGCTGATAGCGCACGGGGGACCCGCCACCATGGGCTGGTGGAGAGGCCGGCCAGGACCCGCTTCCACGTGCTCCACCGACGGTCTGGGGATAAGCCGGGACGACAAATATCCTTTCTCGTTGTCTGAGGGCAGTATGACTTCTGAAATGTTTGAAAGGTTTTCAAGGTTTCTCTTCCCTACCGTTCCCCTTTGGCCTCCAAGCCTTCGTTTTATCTGATGAAGGGAGGCAATAAAAACAAACGAGTTGGAAACTAGAAACATCTCTGCAGCTGAAAATTGGAAAGATCATCGCGGGTGTTTACTTGATGAAAACGGTGATAAAGCGGAGTCGGGTGACGTAACTGGACATAAGCAGAACCTGTAACCCGGCCCTGTTGCAAGGCCGCCTCAGGATTTTCTTCCGAGGTCAGCCAAGGCACAGTTAAACCTGACTTTGAACCAGGTTAGAGAGACCTGGTCTATCTAGCTAAAACAGACATGTGGGAATCTGGCTGATTTTTATTTCTGCTGACCCGGGGACCCTGCTGTGAGAACTTACAGAAAGAAGTTCATACGATCTCCTATTTATGCAGTTCCAAGCTCAGTAAATGACGCCTTACGGTATAAAGTTAGGAAAATTCTTATGCAGCACTTACGCCAAGACCTATGCTGTTAAGTAGGAATGAAGAAGAGGAGATTTCAAAGTCCCCTGATAGTTTTGTTTTTCAGGGGCTGGGGCTTAGGCAGTGGGCGGGGTGGTCACCGCCAGGCCACCGGTGTCGTGCTCAGGGCTTCGAGGACACAGTTTTGTGGGAGAGGACGTGGAAGCAGCGTGCCGGGAGGCCCTGTGCCCTCCCTACACTCCCCCCTCTGGGGTGGAGGAAGGCACAGGAAGGCGGGGTGCGTGTCACTGCACAGCTGGTTCCTGGCAGTGATGGTAGAGCTGGCTTCTCGAGAAACCAGGAAGTGGGGGGAGGGCACGCGTGTTTGCTGAGCACCTACCCATGCCAGGCACTGCGCCGGGCCATTTCTGTGTAATTGTGTCCTCAAAACTCACTGAGTAGTTCATGCGTTTTAACCCGCGTTTTCCAAGGAGGAAGCTGAGCATCGAAGTCACTTGTCCCAGATTCCCGCTGTCGAGGTTGGATTCAGCCCGGGCCAAGCGGACTCCGGGCCTGGGCCTCTCCCCTGCCTCCAGCACTCGGTGGGTCGGCCCCCGGACCCCCTCCTGCCGTCAAGAGAGGCCCTGTAGGCGGGGTTGTAGGACACACACAGGGGACGCGCTTCTCCTGCCCCCGGGTTTCCTCCAGCTTCCTATTTGGAGGCCGGGATAGCGACCCCAGGGAACGTTCCCGTCTCCCTTCTCTTCCGCCCCCAAGGGACACACCGCGGACACAGGGTCCACGACAGACCCTGACTTCTAGTTTTATGTATTATGTGACTGCTGTCAGGGAGGGTGACGGTGACAGCTGATTCTGCGGGTTCCCTTCTGGAACACGTAATAACCCTTACGCAGAACGCAAAAGGGAGAGGAGAATCCAGACGAGTCTTCGGCTCATGTGCTCATGTGTGGGAGGAGCATGTACACCAAACCCTCATCGAGACTGCTGAGAATTTTCAAGCAAAGGACTTCTGATTGTTTCTTTGCTTGATTTAACAATATGTCTTTTTCCAAAGTCTTGATTCTCTATTTCTCCTGTAGGTATTCTCTGTAAATAGTATAATACATACATGACATATTCATAGCCATATATATAAATACCTGTATACTTGCAGCTATCTCAGAGCTTTTTTACAGCAAGTATGGTCTAAGTATATACACATGCTCACAGCTCTTTTAACCAAGGTAATAACTTAGAAGAGGAGGGGATTGAAGGAAAGCGACAGAGGACAATGTTCATTCACTTAAAAACAATGAGGGGCTCCTGGGTGGCTCAGTCAGTTAAGCGTCCGACTTCGGCTCAGGTCATGATCTCACAGTTCGTGAGTTTGAGCCCCGCGTCGGGCTCTGTGCTGACAGCTTGGAGCCTGGAGCCTGCTTTGGTTTCTGTGTCTCCCTCTTTCTCTCTCTGCCCCTCCCCCACTCACATTTTCTCTCTCTCTCTCTCTCTCTCTCTCTCTCAAAAAAGTAATAAACATTAAAAAAAAAATTATTTACTAGTGTCAGGCCCCACTGAGACACTGCAGGCATAATGGCGGACATAATTTGGTCCCTGTCCTCATGTTGCTTAAAGTGGTCACCGTGCAGTGTGGTGAGCTATCGTCGACGCAGCTCATAGGAGGGGCGGCCAGGACCAGTGATGGGAGGCTGGAAAAGGCATCCTTGCGGTACATCTGAGGCTTGCAGGATGAGCTGCCAGTAAGGGGATGATGTATTTGTGTACTCAGCAGAGATCTGCAGAGTCCCTTTTCTGTACAAGTACTGTCCACGCGCAGGGGACTGGGTGGTGGAACAAGACGTGTCCCCGCGTTGGTGAGGTTTTGGTCTGGGGGAGGTGGTGGACGGCAAACAGGTAAAGAAATGATTAAGGAAGATAATGGCAGAAGGTGGTAGGTGATGCAGAAAGAGGGAGGCAGCTGGAGAGGGAATGTTCCAGGAAGACGGTGTATCTTGTGCAGAGTCACAGAAGGGGAGACCACACCATGTGCTCAGGGGACTCGGTCTCCTCCCAGGTGATTTACCACGGGGTGTCACTTGACCCCATCTATGGGTCCCCTTGTGAAAACAGCAGCAAATACAGGTCACCTTCAGAGGGGAAGGGAAGCAAAAACTAAATTAATGCACAGATAGATTAAAGTTCATCACACAGTACATGTCTGATCCACAGGTCGTGAGACCCCTCTCTCTGTTCTCTTCTTAAGCACAACCTAACTGGGGTCTGGGGACTGGGCATCTGCTGATACAAAAAAATTTTTGAGCTCAGGCTGGTCCGTTAATGGACAGCGTGTCTCTTCTGCGGAACCAAGGGGCCGTGAGCTCCTAGTGAAATATAAGAGAGGGATAATTATATGTCGAAGGTACTGACATAAATCAGAAGAACTTGGGAGAAAGATTTCATCTTTCCTTTCGTGGCCACATTCAGTTGATTTTGAAATAATTTGCTTAAAACAGTGGCCTTTCACACAGGGTCTTCTGTTACCTCCTTAATGTCTGTCTCCCACTTCTGTCATTTGAAAGTGTTCACACCAGTTTGAACCTTTGTTAGGACAAAAAGAAAAGGAAAAAAAATGTATCCAGAATTCTCTTCCTGCAGCTGTTTATTGGCTTGGAAGTTACTTCAGCGCGGCAGACTGGCCTAGACAGGGGTTCAGTCCTATGATACAGTGATCTCACATGACACGGACATTGTTTAACAAATATTCTGGCTTCCTCCCCGAGTGGGTAGCAAGCAGGGCACCGGCCTGGGGACATTCCTCGTGCAGTGGGCAGCTGTGGCTGGGGCCTGGGCTTGCGAACTCAGCTTAGGGGCTCTTCTCCGTGTCCGCGGCAGCCCTCTTCCCTCCTCAAGGGCAGCGGACATGGGTCCCACACGCCGTCTGGTCACGTTTCTGAACAACTAACGTGAATTTGCGGCAGATATGGTATTATCTTAGACCTGTGGGTAACACATCGAGAACGCAGGGGACCTGCTGGAGAATCATGGTAAACGCCTTCCTCTAAAGGTGCTTTTAGAAAGAGAGAAAAATAAGTGTGTGGAAAATTTCTGATTTATGTTCCCAACAAGGCGCAGGAGTGCATCACATCTGGGAAACTAGTGTGAGTGGTCACGAAGGGATGCCTTAAGACCTGCCAAAGTTAGGAATGGCTTTCCTCTTTGGAACAGGCCTGCTTTGAGTCTGTTCGTACAACAAGATGAAAGTTTTAGGACATTGGTGTATAGAACACGGTTTCTTTGACATACTCGGCCTGTTACATTTGAGGAAACGCTACTCCTCTCCCCCCCCCACCCCACCCCCGCCCCCCACCGGCCCCCAGGGCTCTAAGAAGGCTTGCAGCTAAAAAACTTTTTCTCTTCACCCGGGACTAACAAAATGCATTTGATCTGATCACAAAACCCAACTTTTACCTAATACCCACTAGCGATTTCCATCTTAAAGGACAAGGAACGGGCTGATGTTTAGAGCTTCTCAGGAGAAAACTTTCAGACTTCAAAATTCCACATGCGACCTGTCTGTCGCTCGTGTGCCAAGGAGAGCAGAAAGATGTTCCCACGCACGCAAGGACTCAGAAAGATCCCACTCAGATTCTCTCCGTGACGTTGGACTCCAAGATGTTTTCTAGCAGGACGTAGTTGGAGGCAAAACAGGACAAGAGGAAGTAACATGATGGTGAAGACGTGGTTGAGAAATTAGGAAGGAACCAGACTGGGACCGGCTCTGTGTGTTCGGTCTGACCCTGGGAGTCATCTTGCGGGCGGGTTCCAGGAAAGCAGACTCAGAGTCCACTCGCCCGGCCGACTGCATGGGAGGTCCTGGGCCTGCCCCACAAACCGCCCCCTGGTAGAACCGTGAGCTCCAGAGGCTCGGAGACAAGATGGCCAGCCTCCAGGCTGCCTCTAGAAGGCTCTTCCTGAGCCCTGCCCCAGGTGCGCTTACCACATGGGAACAGGAAGCCGAAAGGAGAAGCCGGGCTGTGCTCTCCAGCCACAAGGCCAGCAGCACAGCAGAGACAGGGTGGATGCCGTCTGGAGCTTCTGTGGCTCAGTGACCCCACCCATGGGTAGATGGGCCACCAGATGTCCTGTCTTATCAGCAGAAGAGCTACTCCCCTTCCTTTGGGGAAGAGTGAGTAAGAAGCTTCCCTGTGACACTGCCCACGTGGAGGAGGAGGAGGGGAGGCCTTTGGTCAGCGGACTGAGGCAGGGACACAAGGAGCTTCCCCTCCAGATCCACAGGCATGTGGGGAGCACATCAGTGGGTTAAACACGGTGGATGGGTGAGAAAAGGAGCAGATGTGAGGGAGGAGCGGGAGTTACTGTCCAGGTGGAGTTTGAACGTACTTTTGGTGGCAAAGCTGAGCAGGCGGTGGGAAACTGGGGCTTGGCACGAACTGTCAGCGGCGGGTTTGGGGGTTCCTGGACTACAGGTGCCCAATGCCGGTTGGAGCCAGAGGCCGGGGCAGGACTGGGGCCCCCCCCCCCCCCCGCCCCCCCGGGGGGGGGGGGCCCGGGGGGGGGGGGGGGCCCCCCCCCCCCCCCCCCCGCCCCCGGTGAGCTTGGGTGGGCCCGGCTCTGTGTCCTCTGACACTCCTCCCCGAGTGTCTCCAGCCTCCCACGCTGCCCCCACGGTGTGATGCCCAGCAATTCCGAGGCCCTTGTCCCCGTCCTGTCCCTTTGTGAGCAACATGGGCTGAGAGGCTGTGAGGCCATAGGGCTCAGGGAGCGTCAGGATTGGAGGAGGAGGAGGAGGAGGAGGAGGAGGAGGCGGCCGTGGAGGCGGAGGAGGCAGCAAAGGACCTGAAAAGGAGTGCGTGGGGCGGGTGTGCCAATAAAAAGGTGCACACTAATGTGGGGACCTTTTAACCTAGGCTCACCGGGGGTGATGGCCGAGGAGCTGGTCTGGCTCGTTAAAAACCCTGCTGCCGGCTGCTTCTCTGTTGGCAGCCGGTAGGCGCCACGGTCGTTTGTTGAATTAATGGTAAATTCAAGTTGACGAATAAGGGTATTTCCCCATCTTTAGGTTGTCCTGTAGGACATGTCAGTGTTGTGGACTAGTCAAAGCCACCTGAATGAAAGCTCCTGAAATCTTAAGAAGGCTTTTCTGGGCTTGCCTTCGGTTGACTGCAGCTTCGTGAGGCAGTGGCATTAGTGTTTCTCCTGATGCCCAGCAGCTCTTGTGTTTTTAAACAGCCAATAAATGACATGTGCCAGGGAGAATTAAGAATGCTCAGCGGTCACATCATTTGAGTTTTGCTGGCCCGGCCTCATCGCATCAAGAACCCCAGCCGGGCCCGGTGGTGGTGTGCCTGGGCCCCGGCCCCTTGGGAGGCCGAGGAGGGCACAGCCGGAGCCCAGGGCGGCCGACCGGTGGGGCGTCCACGCGGACTTCCGCATCAGGGCGGCGTGGAGCTGGTGGGTGGGGGGATCTCACGTGTCAGCAGCCACCGCACCCCGGCCTGGGCGATGCAGTGGGAACTCCTGAGTGTTAATTTCAGGAAACCACTACACGTCCATGCTGTTAACATGCATCAGAAAGGTTAACATGCTGCCTCGAACCTCACCATTGAGGTAATGGGTGCTTGGTCATTCTGTTACCCTTAAGGCTCCACGTGCTAAGTTGTGTTAGCCGCACTGCCTCGGGGACTTAGGGCGGCAGGGTACTGAGAGAAACGGGAACCTTCTGCTTCCTGACGTTCCGCTTCTCCCCACGGAGATCCATTGAACTCTGCAGGAAGCGGAAAGACAGATACCCGCAGGTGGGGAGACTCGGTGCCTCCTGGCCGATGGCTCGGTCCACCAAGGCTCTGCTGGTTTTCATCGGTCAGGGGGCCTGCCTCCTTCGTGCTCACCTCCTGTGGCGTATTCTAGCCTGCACTTAACATGCACGAAGCCCCATCGTTGAGGAAGTGTCTCCCTTTTGAAAATCATCTCTTACCGTGTGGACTTAGGTTCAGATTAAGAAATAAGCTAGCTGCAGATGACAAAACAAATACAGAGAGTGGACCTCGTGATCATAACGCCCCTCCCGGCCACAGGGGCCTTTGACACCCAGTCGTTCATCGGGGACGCCCAGGCCAGGCCTGCGTGACGGGGGCCCCCTCCCCTTCCTCCTGAGCCCACGCACGTGGTGGCTGCTGTATAGAATCATTACAGTTTGTAGCGGGAGGTTATTATGATTAAAGATGTTTTGAAGAGACTGTTCTATGGGTGTAAATGAACTAAATTAACTAAACGCCTCTACTGCCCTCGGCGTGGATATTGTCGCATCACATCCGTTTCTCTCTGCGTCTGGAATATGTCCCAGGGCACCATCCCTGGAAGAGTACAGAATTTAGAAAACGGAGCCCCCGACAGCCCAAGGAACTTACCATTTCTCCACAAATATAGTGCAGCTCTCTTCTGGTTGTAAGTAACAGGAACCCTCAGCTTGAAAAAAGGAAACTTACTGACTTATGTCCCTGGAAACCCAAGGGCATTATCCAGGGGTTTGCACAACAGCCCTGAGACTGTATCCGCTACGTGTCCCCTGGTGGGTAGGGGGATCACACCTGTCAGTCTGTGTTGACTTCCTGGGTGGATGGGCTTTGTCTCCTTGCAGACTGATGCGGCTCTTGGGCTCATCACCCCAACTGAGGGCACCCTTTTTTTCTCCTCCGAGGCACTCTCTGGCTTTGTTTATGGTCAGGAGCCCATCCCTGACCGATCACTGTGGCCGGGGGTATAAGGTACCTTGACTGGAAATACTGAGCCTTGGGACAGAGGGGCTTCCAAAGAATGGCGGCCTTACCAGGTTTGGGGTGAAGGGTGGAGGCAGTTCTTGAAAACAAAAGACGCTATGCCAGCCAAAAAAAAAAAAAAGACAGACCCCACACATGAATCATACAGAGACAGCACTTTCCAGAGGCAGTTGTGGAGGGAAGGCCTGGAGGAAGAGCGATCGGTGTAGAGAAACAGATAAGAACCAGAAACCCTGTTGTCTGACTCTCCATGATTCTGGTGTCTTCGTTCTGCTTCAACTTTCCATTAATTTTATTTTTCCTTTATTAAAAATTCCACTTTGATGGTAGTACTTTCGGATCCAGTTACTCCTCACAGCCCCTGGATGAGAGTTGGCCAAGGTAAGCAAGCCGTATTTAAAAAATGTCTTTACTGTTTATTTATTTTTGAGAGAGAGAGACAGAGAGCAAGCCGGGGAGGGGCAGAGACAGAGGGACACACAGAATCCGAAACAGGCTCCAGGCTCTGAGCCGTCAGCACGGAGCCAGACACGGGGCTCGAACCCACGAACCATGAGATCATGACCTGAGCCGAAGTTGGACGCTTAACTTACTGAGCCACCCAGATGCCCCAGCAAGCCGTATTTTAAAAAGATATGATGGGCACGTGTTTGTCGATGGCTCCACTTAATTTTATCCACCTTGAATGTTGTTGTAGAGATTTCTAGTATAAATCATGGAATTTTGTTTTCTCTTACAAAACTTAGGTCCTCCATGAACAATCATAGGCTTATATGGAAGTCGAAGATGAAAAGTAATTTAAAATAAACCTAGATCTTCATATTTAAAATCAAACAGAAACGCATTTGGAACACATCTGCCAATGGAATGCTCTGATTTGATATTCTTCTATTGAAGACACGGAAAAATAGGAGAAATATTGCTTGGGGTGTCCTCGTAAGCCATTGGAAGGAAAGAAAGATTTAAGAAGCTTCTAAAACTGTAATTTACACAGTGGATTTGATTTAGACTCTCTATTTTCATATACAAAGGGCATATACAAAACAAAATTGAGTATTTTTAAGTATAGCAGGCGACAGAATATAAAACCAACTGAAAAGATTGGCGTATCCACTGTGTATGTGATATCGTTTTCAGGTCACCAGGTCAGATTTAGGAGACACTTGAAGTGTACATATCAAAAAAAAAAAAAAAAAAAAAAAAACAGCTCTCTGTGTTGAGGTCGACTCTCCATCCGCTCTCCGGGTAAATCCCGACTGAGCACTTCACCGTGAATAACATAGTCAGGACCTGGGAAGTCCGCTAAAGATGAGTAATGGCGGGCCCCTGCCTCCTTGGGTTGTCACCTGCCCTCAAGAATTCTGGGATGTCAGTCGTGGGATAAATACAATACTGCGTTTTAAATCATAAAAAGGCGTCTCTAAACTGATTATTTTGCAAACTTGGATCCAAGAAAAAATGTCTTCAGCTTCCCAGAGCCCTGGGATTAGTTGGATTGACGTTTTCATAAACTGGGCAATTACAACAGTTAACGTGTTCCTCCTCACGGCCGTCTACACGAGAATAGCATTTTTGCATCCAGGACGGCCAGGGCGCCCCCTCGGCAGACACGCGGGATGTGTGCTGGGCAAGACCTCATTTCCCCCAGAGAGGAGTCGGCCATAGAATCTAGAATCAAACTATTTCTTTTTTTTCTTTTTTTAATTTATATATGAAATTTATTGTCAAATTGGTTTCCATACAACACCCAGTGCTCATCCCAAAAGGTGCCCTCCTCAATACCCATCTAGAATCGAACTATTTCAAAGGTGCTTATAAATCCCCTTTGTAAAACAAAACCAAACCTCCTTATGTGCCCAGCCAGCTAACCCTGTTCTCGTGGATTTGTGGTAGTTTTTATCATGGAGATCAGGAATCCTAGGAGGTGGAGAGATCACTCAGTCTGACCTCATTTTAATACCGTTGAGCAAAATGACCAAGTCATGGAGCGTTTGAAGTGACTTTCCCTCAGGTTGTGCGGCCAGGTGAGAAGAGCCAGTTCTCAAACTCAGGCCCCAGGCTCCCCTTTGCTCCTGTGGATTGAACATCTTTTCTTTTTCTGTCACTCTGGTTTTTAAAGGCAGCAGCATCCTTGGAAAGAAGAAAAGCACCCTGGGTTCAGGCTGACATCTGCACTTAACAGGTACCTGGGTTCATTGCTAGTGGAAATAAATTTCCTAGACTAATCGATTCGATTGTCCTGCTGCCCTTGATATATTATCCGGTGGCCAGAGGATATTCATATCAGATGTGTTTATATGAAGTATTAAAAAAATGTCAAAGGCCTGAATCTCCCACCATTTATCGAATGTCTGCACAGACAGCACAGGATACGTAGACAGTATGAGAGCCCGAGGTCCAAGGCGGGGCCGCAAGATTGGCTCTTACTGTGCGACCTTGAATGAGTTATTTAACTTCTCCGTGCCTCAGCTTACTCACCTGGAAAAGGGAGATAATAATACCTGTATCAAGGGATGGTTGTGGGGATTAAATAAGGTACAAGAAACACGGGGGACGTTAGCATTCAGCCAGAGTTGGCTTGGCATCGCGATCGCTTTGGGCTGGACTCCAGCGGTAAGTGCTCTCCGGGGGTCATTTTTTTTTTTTTTTCAATCCTGACAGCATCCTTCAAGAATGAATATTATTTTCTGTTTTAAGAGATTAAGTGACTTGTCCAAGGCAGTTTAGCTAATGTGCGGTGGTACTGGGATTTAAAAAAAAAAAAAAGTTTCCAGTGCAAAATACAAAACATACACCAAAGAGAAAAGAGTGATGGGAAGTCCCTGTGCCCACCCTTCAGCTTCGGCCCTCATCGGCCCGGCTCCTTTCTTCGGAACCCCCTCCTCTCACCCCCGTCCCACCACCCGCTAGACAGAGTATCACACAGGTAAATATCTCTGAGAGGAAAGGTTGGTAAGAACCTCTTTTAAAGAAAACACAACCACAATGTCATTGACAAAATTAACAGTGATTGTAATACCCAGGCTACCTTCACATTTGCCCAGTTGTCTCTCTGCATTTGACTGGTGTTCTCTTGAGCCTCTTTGACTCTGTAAAGGAGCCAGAATCCAAACCGAGGGGTCTCTGACCCCGGGGGGCACGCTCTTCCTGATGCATCATGCAGCCTCCGAATCTCCTGTACCCCCGTCTGAGCACAGCACCGCCACGGTGCCCAGTCAAGCCATGCGGCTTTACTGGCCATGTGAGGCTCTCACCTGGAACAGACCACAAGGAAACATTTTAGGCTAATTGGAGGTCTCTCACAAAAGGCAGGTAGTTTGACAGTTGGATAAGTAAATAATTGTCTCTTAAGAGTTAAGCTTATGCAGCCCCTGGAACCGTCTGGGAGCATTTCAGAAATTCACTCCAGATCGGTGGTTCCCAAACTTTCTGCCTTAGGACTCCTTTACAGTCTCCAAGACATTAAGGCCCTCAAAGAGTGTTTGCATAAGTGGCTGTGTCTGTTGACATCAGCCTATCGCTACTAGACGTTAAATTGGGAGATTTATAAAAGGTACTTGTGCACTTAAAAATAACAAAGTAGCAATCACAAACTCATCACGTGTCTATGTAAAAAGATGCCTTCTTCTAGGAAGCACAGTTACATTTTCTAAACCACAGAAGAGTCCACTGAGAAGAGTGGCAGTGCTGTGCCTTTTACAAACCTCCCCGAAGATAGAGATAGCGGGTCCTCGGCCTGACCCCACAGCTGCCACGTTCCTGACGAGAGCAAGGGCAGAAGGGCAAAGAACATGTAGTAGTATTTTCAAAGTCGTCTTGGCCTTGCATTCTCCCTGGAAGGGCCGGAGGAGCCCTGTGGTAGGTGGCCCTTCACGCAGGAGTTATTCTCAGATGGAGAGACTCTGGTGCAGAGAATGCACGGGTCCCAGCGGTCTTCTGAGTTGCAAGGGGGAACAGGAAGCCCCTTAGGAGAGGCGGTGAGTCCAAGGTCTGCGTTGTCGGAGTAGACGATTACGCCATTAGCCTCCAAGCGCAAGACTGTGCAGGCACAGACTGCCATCTTTTTGGGCGTGGGAGATCCTCAGAGGCTGTGGTTTGATGTGAGGGACTTCAGGTAGGTTCCAACTCCTCATCTTAACAGATGATTGTAAATTCCTCATTCCTGCCTTCTCTCCTGTGGGTAATTTTCAGCAAAGAATATTGCCTTCTTACTAAAGACAAATGCATTTTCAGCCAGACTCTCTCCTCCTCCCCTTAGGACCAATTCTGATTCCGCCCTTCACACCAGTGCCCTGAGCGCCAAGCCCCAGGACCCCTATGGAGGAGGGGGCCAGTCGGCCTGGCCTGCCCCATACATGGGTAAGACACAAAGGCCCCTGCTAACAGCCTCTGTGCTTTCTCACTGTTTGGAATGACACGAGCTCCGGGCTTTGGCCTTCATTCACCTTCCTCCACCACTTGAACCACTCTGATGTGTCTTCCTGTTCCCGTCTCTTCCTCTCTCACCTACCCTGGCCTACCTGGACCAACACCCCTGGCTCTGTCGCCATTTCTGTGGAGCCGTCCTTGATCTTCCTCCCTCCGCCGACCCACAGCTACCCGTGTCCTTCCACCCCAAGTTCCTCCCTGCACATGCCTGTCTTGGCACCTGTCACCTGACTGTCTTTCTCATGGGTGTGCCTCTCCCCCTCTGCTCAGTGTGGATTTCCTGAAGTCGGCATTTTAATGGTCTTACCTCCAGCAGGGTGCCCAGCACACGGGAGCCCTCGGTGTCGGAGAACTGTGGAGAAGTTACACAGTGGCTCGCGTGCATGGAGCGCTGGGCTAGAACGGACTCTAGGTGCTGACATCCAACCTGCGGGGTTCACTAAGACACTTTCCAAGCCTGCCTTTCCCTCTGCGGTTGGTAATCTAGTAGGAAAAATGGTGTTGAATTACCTGTTCCCTGTGCAGATTGGCTCTTGTCCACAAACGGTTAGGGCCGCGTGTTTGGTCTTAAAACAGGAGCATAAGTAAATCTTGGTCAAGATAATAGCAGCTTTTCTGGTTTTCTTTATTTTTGAGGCCATTTAAGCCCTAGATAGTCTCTGTTCCTTCCAAGGAGAATGTCCAAGGTCTTATTTCCTTGCACACGGTAGGGATGGGATTAAGTTAGTAATAATTGTTGCTGTATTTGCTCCCTTGGTGCAGTTCAGAGATGGCTGCATTTGCCCAAACGTTCATTTACGTTTCAAGTGTCAGGTGGTTGAGAGGTGGTCTGGGCCACGAGGCTGTGTCTCCACCCATGGGAGTGTGAGCGTCAGGCTGGCGGTATCGTGGGAACTGGACGGGAGTCCGGTGCTCACTGCCGAGGGAAGTGGGGTGCACGGGAGATGCGGTAGCTTGGCCTCAGGAGAGGCATTGATGGGAGCAAAGAGAGGAACCCCAGAAAGGCAGAGGCTGTGATCAGTGGAGGTGCCAGGAAGTACAGCGGGATCCTGGTCTCCCTGAACCGAGAGGGAACCAGATTGATGGATTTTCGCCCCGGAACCGTGAATAACGAGCTGCATCTCTGCCCCTGCCGTTCCTTCATTTGTGTTGTCGTCCTCTCTGCAAAGTTTATGCTTCCGCAGAAAGGGCCAGAATCCTCGAGACAAGAAGGAAATCGTGGGTAATTTTAAGGAAGGAGCCTTTCAGGCCTGCGCGCAGAGAGGAAAGAAAGTAAGTGAAGGAGGCCATTAACTGAGTGAGGTAGCCTTGTGGGGGGAGGGGGGGTGGAGAGATTGTCCAGGTCGGTCGGAGGCCAGAAAGGCAACAGAATGGAAATGTTGATCGTGGTAGACAGACCAAGAAAGAGCAGGATTTCTGGGTTGACCTGAGAATCAAGGTGGTCGCTCGTTTGCAAATCAGCAGGTAAAGATTGTTGGGCCCTCGTGGCCGACAGCCAGGGAAGGTGGGCTGACCTCCCAGCTCGAACCTCCGAGCTGTGTGCCTGCTTCTCTGCAGCAGCCTTGCAAGAATAGCACAGCTCAGAAACGCATCCAAATAAGGATGTGTTTACATGGGAAAGCCAGCGTGTTTAAAGTATTCTTCAAGTCTCCAAGGATGGGGCTTATTTCTGGAGAATTCTGTTTGTTGGTGGGAGCTATTTTAGATAGTTTCGTGTATTTTCCCCCTGTAATTCATTAAAGTTTTTTTCATTCTCTTTTCCTTTTGGATTTTAAAAATATCAATTAGCTTTGCAAAAAGGTATTTCTTATTATAGGACCAACCAAATAAAGTAAAGGTTTAAAAAGTGATGGGAAGCTATAATTGAAGCCCAGGATTTAGGCTCTGCAGCAGACACAGTAATAAGCGCTCTTTCCCTGGGAATCTTCCCTGAGCATAATGATGTAGCCTCAATCCATGTTTTTCTTTGTTGGTTTGCTTTGCAAGCTGATAAGGGAGCATCTGCTCTTATGTAACTACATGAGCAATAAACTGTGATCCATCCACGAACAGGAGTCTGTGTCCCCAGAGGAAGAAGCCATTAGTCTGATATGTGGCTTCGCAATTTTCATAATGGTTATTGAGTTGCGTGACAATTAGGCGTCAACAGTAAGTGGTTGATGTGAATGACAGAAATAAACTTACACAACCAGACAAGGTTCTTACAGTTTCTCTCTTCTTACTTAATTATCCAGAGCCTACGAAGAGAAGCGTTGACCATTTCCCTGGCAGCAGGTGCACTTGGCCATTTCACACGCACACAGCCCGGCAAGCAGAAGGGCTCCGTGTGAGCCTGGCTCGGTCTCCTAGCCTAGGACTGTCCCCCAACTGCCCTCCGCTCCCTCGCTCCCACGTTGCCGTGGAGGAGGGGGCTGGAGCGGTCCCTGTCCTTTCCGGGACCCAAGAGTGTGTGGGAATCATCTTCCGTGCACCCACAGCTATAGATAGATGCTGAGTTGTACCAGCTTTGGGAACTGCAGCCCTGAGCCCCTCCCCTGGGAAAGAGGCATGGCTTGGACCTCCGGTGGCCTTTCAGCAGGCAGATGCTGTGATGACCCGCTCAGTTAAGGAGAAGGTCTCAAATGCAAATAACCCTGAAGGAAGTGAGCCCGTTAATGACCCTTTGTGTACGTAGAGGAGGGAGAGGGGGAGGGCACAAGCATCCCAGATCTTAAGAGGGTCAGAAGGTGTCACCCAGACAGCAAGAGGGCCAGGACGGGGAGGCTGAAGGGACCCACCTCCTGCTGCACCTGCCACATCCCTGCTCAGCAAACACAGCCGGTGCCAGGAGTTTAGATTTGTCCGGCATGGGAGCGGGCAGAGGGAACGTGGTCTGGGTTGCATTTGGGAGGTCAGCCCTCGGTGGCTCCGAGGCCTCGAGGGTTCCCGGAACACAGATGGAGCTGTGCTCGTTGCCGTCCCCTGTGGGACCGATGTGGGTGAGTGTCCTCTGTTTCCAGATGTTCAGTCACAGCGCGTTCCCTTTTTTAGCGTTAGCGCTTTATTTATAGTTGTATCCTAGGGCATTTTTTTAATCCCGTAATAAAAAATCCAGGCTTGGATATTTTGGTTCTGTGTTGGGTTGGCGCTAACATCCATTACCGCCACCCCCGTTCTTGCTGTTACCTGAAGCCGCGAGCCTGTCGCCCGTGATTTCCCCCATTCCCACACCCCTTGCACCGTTCAGCAGCCAAGTCCGGGCCGTTCCGTCCTGCAGTGAGCCTCAGAGCCACCTCCTTCTGTCCTCGCTGCCCGGGCCCACTTCCTGCTTGCCTGGACCGGTCTGCTGGTTTCCCGCCCGCTCTCCCTGCCTTGGGGCTTTCTCCTTCCCAGCCATCCCGCTCTCCCGCTGCTAGAACCCTCTCTCCAAAGCTCGGCTGTGATCCCGTCACTTCTGATCGCTGCGTCACGCCCCGTAACTGGCAGGCTCCTTCAGTCCAGCCTCATCCGCCACTCTTCCCACCTTGTGCTCTGGCCATCCTGGCCCCTGCTGTACACACTGGCCTTGCCTCTCCTTCCCACTCTTCCCTTCTTCCCCGTCTCTTCCCCACCCTCCCCTCCTTCCCCTCCTCGTCCCGTCTTTACACTGGGGCATCCCCTTCACCCTCACTCCCCAGTGTCTAAATCCCTACACAGAGTCCCAGAATTTGCAGGCAGCGTGATCTTGGGGCTGCTCATAGTGACTGCCTCATAGGGCCGCTGTGAGGACGACATAGGGTGCCTCACAGAGCTGGGGAGCCTGGCACATAGTAAATGAACTGTAATGTTGGCTCTTAATATCATCCTCCTTGTCATTATGCTTCGTGGGCCTAACTCAGATGCCTCCTCCTCCAGGAAGGCTTCCTTCTGTTTCAGTGGTACCAACGGGATGGCAGAGGGGTGACGTCTGCTTGCCACTCCGTCTCACAAGGTAGCCCTCAGCTCCTCGTGTACGAGGGGGCGGTCAGCCTTCCTAACGGAGCCCAGGGTGGCTGGGGTCTTGATGACGAAGAGATGTTGCAACGTAGCTCGCCAGATTGCCGATTCAAGCTTAGCTTATTATTTGTAATGGGATAGTCACTGTTTCCCGGTCAGAATGGTCACGTTCCCGGCCCTTTCTCAAGATGAGGGTCACCAAGGAAGCCAAAGTATGAATCAGAAGTTTCTCTCCCCTCCTCCTGACGCTGCTGATTGAGAGCCATGCCCTTTGTCTCTCTGCACCTCGTTTCCCAGTGCTCTCTGCTCACCTTGCTCTAGCCTCGTCCGAGTCCCTAAGAGAGCAGGCGAGGACTGTCTGTGGAGGGTCCTTGGAGGTGGTCTTTAAAACCAGATTCCTGGGCCCATCCTCGCACCCTCTGCATCAGTCTTCGAGACAGGCCCGGGACCCTGCATTTTAACGGGCTTACCCAACTCTTGGCGTGCACCAAAGTCAAGTCCTGGGTCCCTAACCTAGATTCTGTTTGCGTGGGCTGAGAGAGGTTCTGTCTTTATGAGTGAGCTTAATTTATCCACCTGTTAGCGCTCCTGGGGATTCTCAGCGTTGCCCCCTGCCTTGGGCCCCACCACGATGGGCCATCTTCTACCTGTTTTGGAGAACTTGCCTCCTTGTTCCGACTTCTCCCCTCTGCCCTACCATCTGGCCACGCCTAGCACTCGCCAGTGCAGGAACTTGATGAATGCAGGTTGAATGAATGATCGTCAGACATTTCCTTGAAGCTGCAGAGGCTCGTCAGGTTAACTGATAGGTTGAGCTTTCTCCAGAAACTTAACTAAACTTTACGCATGTAAGCCTCTTTAAAGACTTAGCACTTAAAACTTTGTCCCGATTTTATACCGAAAACTCAACTGTGTTTCATGACTCCAAGGAGCATGGTAACATATCATTCTTGGCATAGTTCGTGGGTTTTCACTTAGAGCAATGGGAAATACTGTACTTTGTCACCTGCACTGTATTTTATGGGTTAAAAATGCTGGATTAGCCAGAATATATTCCCAGTCAAATTTTTTTAAAACTTTGTGAATAGCTGTCACATACACTACTTAAATTGACTGAGACTCCAGGTAAATTTCTTTTTAAAATAACTTGACCCCCTTGTAAGCAATACTTATATATTTATGTAAAAATATATAAAATATATATATAAAACAAGGCACAACATGGAACTTCCAGTTTGTCCCTCTAGATACACGTGGTAAGTGTGGAACAGTCATGTGGATTCTTGGATTTACCTGCCCTTCCCCTACCCCACCCCACACGTGGCAACATTTTGATCTTTATTTCTTTACTTTGTGATTTGAATAGAGGTTCTCAGACTTTATACATTGTCTTTCTTTCAGGATAGAGGCAGTTAAAAAAAAAATTAAGACGGAGATAATTTTAAAGGAAAAGGAAAGTAGAAAGGAGCCAGCTTTAGACTTAAATAAATCCTGTCTATTTCAATTTTAGTATAAATGCTAATGCACCTTGGGAAGAGCATCCGTGTACCAAAACCACCTTTTTCTATTTCAAAATTCTGTTTTCTATTTCTATTTTCAAAATTCTATTTCAAATCAGAAAGAGTCACTGATTCTTGGCTAAATAAAATTGGAAGTACCACATAAAAGTGGTTTTTTTTTTCCTTTCTCTCCCACTAGGTTTCTGTGATGGTGAGAACGACGTACACGGGGAAGGTATGAACTGATTTCACCTACCGGTGCCGAGCGAGATGCTAACCGCAATATCTGTAGCCTCCTTTCCACTCTGAACTCTTCACAGTCCTGTGTCCAGGACTTCCCCAAATGCTGACACGAGCCACGATCAAGGGCAGGAGAGAGGAACCATGTACTAGTTAGGTCACAGAAGTTGTAACCACATGAAAATATTAATGAATCAGTCACTGAAACCACTAGTTATCCAAACACTTTGTTTCTCAGCTGTCTCTTCGTATCTAGAAAGTTTTGCAAGTTAAGGCACCCGGCTGGTGCCTTAACTTAAGGCCCACATTCAGGGTAGAGATTACTTAAAAATAAAATCTAGAGGGGCGCCTGGGTAGCTCAGTCAGCTGACTGTCCCACTTCGGCTCGGGTCATGATCTCACAGTTCGTGAGTTCAAGCCCCGCGTCGGGCTCTGTGCTGACAGCTCAGAGCCTGGAGCCTGCTTCAGATTCTGTGTCCCCCTCTCTCTCTCCCCCTTCCCCCTCACGCCGAGGCTGTGTCTCTCCCTGTCTCTGAAAAATGAATAAACCTTAAAAACAACCCACTTTTTTTAAATAATAAAATAAAATCTAAAAAGAAAAAGAAAAGAAAGTTTTCAACAGATGCAAATAACAATGGGAGGAAAGGCAAACTGATTGCAAAGTGAAATTGCCAGTTTTGCAGAAGATACTGAGTTTCATAAAGCCACTTGGAGCTGGCAACCTACTGACGGAGGAGGGCGTGACCCGGTTCATTTATTCACTGAGCACCAGGTGCGGTTTTCTTTCTCTAAATCTTTATAACCTGAGCCTTAATTTGACCAAATAAGCTTTTCAAAAGAGACTGGCTCGAATAACAGGATTAAGAGGGACACCCTCCCACCCCACCCCCACCCCCCACCAGGAACGGTGGTTCACCCTGGACTATCCAAGCCGAAATGGCAGCCGTGTCCTCACTCTCAGGATTTATTCTGCAAGTTTGGTCTCTGTTTCAAGTGACTTCTTTCTGGGGCCTCTTATCCTCGGGTGCACAGACTGTCCTGGTGTGGGGCCACGACAGTCACGCCAGAGCCCCTGTAGCCACGGAGACCCGACAGCAGTTGTAGCTCTGAGCTGTCGCCAGTGTCTCTCCGGTTGAATCCCCTTCCTGACATCAGATCCCCCAACCCCCCGTCTCCCCTGGCCGGGCCCAGGACGTCAGCATCCTCCCTGGTGTGGAGCTGGCTGTTCAGTGGCTCTGCTTCAAACCGTCTGGGTTCTCAGTTCCCGTCCACCCGCCGCCCCCACCCGCCAGGGAGCAGCCTCCCTGCCACCTCCCATGCTGGGTCCCTCTTCTCTCTACTGCCCTCATTCCATCCCCCCTGGGCCACTGTGGCCTCTCCTCACCCCGCCAGCTTCCATGCTCTCCTTGCCCAGCTTTCAGGGCCTCCCCTCCCCCAACCTGGCCTCAACCTTCTGAACTTTATTTCCTGCCACTCTTTTCTTGCGCCATGCTCTCTTGAGAAGCGTATCTCCATCCCGCGGTTGCCCGCCATTTCCTTGCTTCTGGGCCTTTTTTCCTCATCTCCTCTTTCGGGAATGTGTTTTCCTGTGCCCCCAAAGGGCTCCACCGGGTGCCCGGCTGCAGAGGCCCGCACTGTCTGTTCCCTGTCTGCACGGCAGCCCCCCGACGCCCTGGTTCTCACAGGCGGCCCCTCGCTGCACCTTACAGTCCAGGGCTGAATCCACGTCTGCCCAGGGCTGCCCCACAGCAACGCGCAAAACCCCTTCTTCAGTAGCGAGCCAATACATAACGTGTCCTATAAAATCACTTTTTTTGCAAAGACGATGACTTTGGCCGAGGGTGGGATGGCCGCCTTCTAAACACCGTGAATATGCTTCCCCCCCCCCCCCCTTTAGTGCTATCTTTCCCTGGCCCGCTGAAAGAAGAGAATCTGCTAAATGTTCCCAAGCCTCTGCCAAAACAGCTGTGGGAGGCCAAGGAGGTAAGCGACCGTCCTCAGCCGTGTGTGTTGTCCCCGGGTGTTTGCACGCCCGACGTCGGTGTGAAGTCCTGCAGTAGGGAAAATAGGAATTGAGAGAAAAGGAAGAGAGGGCGTCAGGGGACAGAGGTGGACAACCGTTGGGGATGATGGATTAAACGAAACTTACAGTTGTGTTGGTGAGCTGGCACAGTGATCTCCTGGCTTACGGTTTTCCTGTGAATTTACTCATTCCGAAAAGCCTATCCGTCCTTCTCACCTCAGTCCTGTTCCTAAGAGCACAGACACCTCGTTGCTGCTAGTCATGGGCACGTTTTCTGTTTTATAGCCAAACCTCTTCCCTGTCACCAGCTTCGGCCCCCTTTCTTGAGTCCAGGGTATTTGACCTGAGTTCTCAGGGGAGTCAGTGAACAAGTCCTCTGTTTTGTGATTTCTGTGAGCCTCTGAGTATTTGCATGCACAGCTGTGCTAGCTGACCTCCGCCGTGGCGCTCGCCGTAAACCTCACTGCGGAAGCAGGGCGTCCCCGGGTACTTGACTTGGCCTTTCTTCCCGTAGGGAGGCTGTGTTGCCTTTGAAAGAAAACAGTTTGTCTGTGAGGGCCACGAGCAAGACTCTGTTACCACTGCCTGTGCTGACTTAACTCTCCCGCCTGTTCAGGGTCCCCTGGTCCAGTTTTAGTTTCTTCTGCCAAATGTATCGAAGTCATCGTTAGCATTAAGGGTGGGCTAGAAAGGGCTTTTTTTTTTTTTTTTTTTTTTTTTTTGGTAAAAGCAAGATGTATGTGATGTTTCACCTTTTTTTGGATGGAATTTAAAATTCACATACTTAAACATAGGAGAAGCATCCGCACTGTCTTTGTGGCTGTGGGAGGCACAGGCGGGTTTGGAGCCTTTTTTCAGAGGACACGCGTGGCTTCTCCAGGGGAGGGGTGGCGATACCCACTCTTCCCTGAGCCCCGGGGGCTGCTCTCTCTGGAGAGCCGTCCTCACCATGGTTCTTGTGGCCATGCAGCACTCTGTAGATCGTTTCTGGGACAAGAGTGAGTCAACGGTACATTCGGGTTTTTTTCCCCCAACATCTGTTTATCAAGCCCCTCCTGCCAGGCATCCTAGCTGCCGGGATAGATGCTACAATGAACAAATAAAAATCCCTGCCCCCTCTCCCCAAGCTTCTACAGTAGTTAAAATATGTATTTTTTCTGACATTAATTTCCTCCTTCTTCACCCTGTTTTGTTTTCTTTTTTCTTTTCTTGTGAGGCCAGTTGGAAAAGTAATGTTTATTTAAAAGCTCTCTATAGAAAACATCGGGTTTTTAAAAAAAAAAAAATTATTTATTTTTGAGAGCGATAGAACATGAGTCGGGGAGGGGGAGGGGCAGAGAGAGAGGGAGACACAGACTCTGAAGCAGGCTCCAGGGTCTGAGCTGTCAGCACAGAGCCCGACGCGGGGCTCGAACCCACGGACCGCGAGATCGTGACCTGAGCCGAAGTCGGACGCTTAAGCAACTGCACCACTCAGGTGCCCCAACATTGGCCTTTTTGAAGGAAATAATACTCCTCTAGAAGATAAATTAACAAGTCAAAAATCAAGAAACTTGGCTGTGGGGCGCCTGGGTGGCTCAGTGGGTTAAGCATCCGACTTTATCTCAGGTCATGATCTCACGGTGGTTTGGTTCGTGAGTTTGAGCCCCGCCTCGGGCTCTGTGCTGCCAGCTCGGAGCCTGGAGCCTGCTTCAGAGTCTGCGTCTCCCTCTCTCTCTGCCCCTCCCTCGCTCATGCTCTGTCTCTCAAAAATAAATAAACATTAAAAAAATTGTTTTTTTAAAAAAAAGGAAGAAAATTTACTCATGTTTGGCCTCCCCCCGTGCCGGGAAAAGTCTAGTCAGAACAGAAACGTGTGCCGTGCGAGGATGCTCCCCAAAGCGCTGGCTCTCCTTGCGCTGACTGGGGCCCCAGGACACTGACAAAGACTCTTTTAAAAAGCTGGCATCTGACTTCGCAGTGCGTAAGCCCCAATTACTGTTGTCTCTCCCCAGATTCAGTCCCTGTCAGGGCGCCCTCGGTCCTGTGATGTTGGAAGCGGCAGGTAAGTGACGTCCTGCTCGTTCACGGCTCAGAGACCGTACCGTAGGTTCTCCCGGAAGGAGAGCCTCGTTGCTTTGTCACAAAACCCTGGGAAACTTCACTTACCATGTGTAAATGGGAGGTCCACTGAATTTTTTTTTTTAGGAACAGCAGCTCCCTTTGGCACTCACGTTTCGTTTGTTTAAAGTCATCAAGTTGCGTAACTGCATAACAAGTAAAACCGCCCTAGATGCGCCCGAGAGTAACAGCCGAGCATTGGTCGGTGCCCGGCTCCGCTGTAGAAGCAGAAGCCGAAGGCCCGTGGCATCGGGGACCGTGGCCAGGGAAGGCGACAGCGCCCGTCAGCCTGGGGGCTTCCTTGCGCAGAAGGCGATTGAGAGTGTGTCCCTGAGCACCCTTCGTGCCACTGCAATACACGATTACGAGTGATACGTTTCACGCGAGGTACATTTTACCACGATTTAAAAAACTAAGCGGAAGATGAACACGTAGGAGAAATTTGCAACTAGGAAAAGAGTGTTTTTGAAACCACTGATTCGCTGGTGCGTTTAGGGGCGTACAGCTTTCCTCCCTAAAAGATTTGAGACAGCTCTCAAAAATAGGTATGGTACCAACATTAATGCAGGAAGTTCATGAGGAAATCGGGGCTGCGGACGAGCGGGGAGCTGGGAGGGATAATGAAGCCCCCACGTCAACAGGCGCCCCTCGAACTGGCCCGCGAGATGGGGTACAGGGTGCACACCGACGGAGCCCTGGGCACCCGAGGGGCAGGGTCCTCACAGGGCCCCCCCCAGGGCTGTCCCACCGCTTCAAACCAAAATCAGCTGAGAAGCAGCGACTCTTTCCGGGTCTCGAAATAATGTGGTGTGAAAACGGGACCCTTGCATGACCTACCTGAGGACGAGCACACGTTTCAGAGTCTGTGGACGGAGTTAATCGACCTCAGGCCGTCGTTGCGTGTTATTTCCCCAACAAAGCTTTCTATGTGTTTTTCACGGCAGTTCATTCAGGGAACTCCCTACGGAGTCCCCGGAGTGCGGACTTTATTTCTTTCTCCCCTTTTCTTGTTTGGCTAAACCTAAACTCGTGCACTTAACAGTCCACCGAGCTGAGCTGAGGATTGACCTTCTCTTCAAAAAGTCAAAAAGCTTGGCAGGACAGATACCCGGACGGAAGACCAGCACACCTGGGGTGCAGGACGTCCCCGCAGATAGGGGGCGATGTGGTTTTTATGGAAAGGGCTAAGATTTTCTTCAAGAACCAGTTTTGGCTCACCCCTCAGACAACTGAGGGATCAAGACTCCAAAGGCCTGCGTTCCGGAACGAGGCTGCGAATTGTTGGCCGCCTCCCCTCCCCCCCCCCACCAGAGCTTTAGAGCTGGCGTTTCGCAGATGAAGAGTGTTGTTTTCTTGCTCTTGTGTTAGAGGCGGGGTTCTATTCAGTGACTCTTAGTCATTCAAGTATTTATTGGCCCCCTAATTGTAGGTGCTGGGGTAGAGCAGTGAACAAAGCACATCAAGTCCCTGCTTCTCAAGGAGCCGATGCTCTAGAGGAGACAGACGGGCAGGGACAGTTAGGCAGATAAATATGTCATGTGTTGGTAGGCGCCAGGAGGAAGAAGGCAAAGGCAGATTGGCAAGCCCCTTCTTGGCTGAGATGCTGTGTGACCCCAACCTGGGAGGAGCCGAAGGGGGACGTGTTCCAGGCGGAGGGGACAGCAAGTCAGAGACCCTGAGGCAGGCGTGTGTGCCTGGAGAATGCGGAGGCTGGCGTAGCTTGCGTGGGACTTGAAGTCAGAGTGGAATCATCAGAGGGTTTTGAACTAGGGATGCTGTCACATGCCTCATATCAGATTCAGGAGAGAACTCGGGCCGGGAGTAAGTGTATTTGGAAAGTTACAGCTTGTATTTCTCTCAGCCAGGGAGAAACTGTTTTGAATGTCACCAATGACCTGCTTCACACTGGCCAGTGATTTTCCCCATCCCTGTTACGAGCCGTGGGACCCTGCCTTCCGCCCTTCCTCCCACTGCAGTCCCTCCCCACCCACCCCCACTCCATGGGTCTCTCTTCTCTCAGCCCGAGAGCCCGACTGCTCTCAGGGTGATCAGCTCTGGGTTCCCAAGCTCCTTTTCCTAGACCTTGACCTTTAACCCTACGACCGGTGTCCTGCATCCAGCCCCCCGAAAGACAAGGTTTCCCATTCAGTTTCTCTACCACCAAAATTACCTTTCCTCCTCATCCGTCACATCGGACACCTTTCCTTCTTCCCCGTTTCTTTCCAAGTCTCCACAGTTAACCCCCCTACCTGTACCCAGAAAGGGAGGCCACCCAGAAGGAACGCTCAGCTCCCCTCCTGCCTGATTCCCCTCACATTCTGTTTTCGTGGGATCAGAGCCGTAGGTGCCCCCTCCTGTTCAAGGTGATCACCTTACCCATGCCCTGGCCCTCATCCCCACTGAGCTCTCCGAGGCCTCTCCCTCCTGCTTGCCCTTCCCTCTCCTGAGTGTTTGGCCCTTCCCAGCCCTTCTACTAGGTTTTTCAGTCTACATTTCAATGTACTTACTAAGGAAGCTACACTGAAAAAGCCCTTCCTTAGCCCTGAGTTCCCTTTCCGTTCCTTCCATTCCTTCTCTTCCTTCCCTTCCTTCCTTCCTTCCTTCCTTCCTTCCTTCCTTCCTTCCTTCCTTCCTTCCTTCCTTCCTTCCTTCTCATTTCCAGAATTCTTAGCCACACTTTTGGAAGAGTATTTACTGTTGAGTCTTCCTTATGGCCTGTCCATTCCTCAGCCTACTGTGGCCTGGCCTCTGCCACCGCTGTTCCTCAGGAGACATCCCTAGTACACATCCTCTTGCACTATGGGGACTCCGTGTCTAAGACAGAATTTGTTATCGTCCCCCGAGCACCTGCCCTTACCCCCAGTGTGCTCATGCACCCCAGTGTCCCTAGGCCGGCATCCCCGGGCTGGAAAATCCGGAGTCCTTCTCCAGGACTGCTGCAGGTGTCTCCAGACTTCATCCATGTCTCTCCATTCCCACATGCTCTCCCTTTGTCACCTGGGACTACTCAGCAGCGGCCACCACTGACCTTGCTGCCCCCAGGCTCTGCTCCCTGTGCGTCCTCCCTCCCCCGTCTATTAGCCACACTGTCCTCAGAATGATTAGGTCTCCCCCTGCCCCCCACCGAGCCTTCCACTGGCTTCTTGTCTGTCTGAGCCTTGTGCGCTCTCTGCCTACCTATCCAGTCCCGCCTCCTATCGCCACCGCCTCTCCTGAACTTGACCTTCCTGCTGTATTTCCTGCGGTATCTAAATTCCTTGGGCACACTGTGTGGTTTCACGCTTCCCTGCTTTGCCCAGGCTGTGAACTCTGCCTGAAATGGTTTTCCCACCTAGATGCTCTGAATTCCTGGGCCTTCGCACTCAGCCCAGGAGCCCCCCGGGGAGTCCCCCCACCCCCCCACCTGCTGGTCATCCCCTCCACACCTTATGCCACCAGACTCTGTCACTGCACTACAGAATTGTGTTATATGGCTGCTTTGTCTGAGTCTCTTGAGGCCCGGATGCCCGTGGCAGGTCCCTGGGAGGTGACGTGTTGACATTGCCTTCCACTGCTCCTGGCTAACGGCGCCTTCCTCCAGCTGTTCTCCTCTTCAGCCCCACAGCTCTCCTCCTGGTCAGACCTGGACCACACAGGAGCCGCCTTCTTTTTTTTTTTTTTTTTATTTTTAATGTTTTCATTTATTTTTGAGACACAGAGACAGAGCACGAGCAGGGGAGGAGCAGAGAGGGAGGGTGACACGGAATCCGAAGCTCTAGGCTCCGAACTGTAAGCACAGAGCCCGATGCGGGGCTCGAACTCACGAACCGTGAGATCATGACCTGAGCCGAAGTCGGACGCTCGACCGACTGAGCCCCCCCAGGCGCCCCCACACAGGAGCCTTCTAACAGGCTCTCCCTGCCTCAGCGTCTGCTCCCTCACGCCGTCCTCCACATTGTAACCACGGTGGCATCTCTGAGGCGGCATTCTCCAGCCTACGCTGGCCTCCCTACTTCTCACAGTCCCTGATCCGGACCCTTCAGAACAGCACATCCTCTCACCCCTTGTTCACTTCACTCCCCTCCTGCCTCATCTGCTACCCACCCCTTCCCGGCCTCTGCTCTCACTCCCTGGCCACGCCGCTTCCTTGAAGTGTGAGCACCCTGCCCTGTGTTCGGTGAAGGCTTCCTTCCCCCGCCCATCCTGACAGTGACAGCTCCCGCTTCTGTGTCCTCAGTGTCACGCGTCCCTAACGGTCCTCCCAACCCCTTATCGGCCCAGGCCCCACACGCTTCCTTCCACACTGTAGTCGCTTGCTTTACTGCCGGTCCGTCTCTCCCGCCTGCCTGTGAACCCCAAGCGCGGTGCCCCTCAGGCCTGGGCTGGGCAGCCCCTCCCGGAGCCCCACACTTTAGAGGCCCCACTCCCCTGGAGTCTGGCGTCCCAAGGGGCCCCTGGGGGACACACCGCCTGCCTGAGGGGCGGGGTGGGGGGATGTGGAGTGTGGCCGGGGCTTGGCCTGCAGGCCGGGATAGCCCCACGGGTGGCCCGCGGTGAGGAGCGGGCTGCGGTGGACGGAGGACGACACCCCCCGTGTGTCCCCGTGTGGAACTTCAAGGAACCGGGCGATTCTCAGCTTGGATCTGGCTTTCCAGACTATCAAGAAGGTGTCGTTTTCCGGGACAGTGTAAGAGTTCATTCACTTGATTCATAACTTTTAGAAGTTTAGACGCACGGTCTGTGGGCCTCCATCTGAGCTCTGGCTCCAGGCCTGCAGACGTCAGGGGTGAGCCTGACGGTGAATCCGCTGGCTCGGCTCGTCCTCACACGGCCCGCCCTCAGCCCAGCGCCTGGCACGCGGTGTCCCCCCATCCCCCCCGCCGGCGCGTTACCAGCAGGTGAATGCCAGCATGTCTTTCTCACTTCAAAACTTACGAAGATTCTAACTGAAAAAATATATCTTAGAAGGTACCTGTTTGATGCCGACGTTCTTTTCGTTTGTTTGTTTTCTTGTCTTTTTTTTTTTTTTGGTGGGAAAGATACTTCTAAAATCTAGCAAAAAGAACTCCATAAATATAAAGCAGTGCCTCACATTTTGTATGGGGCTTTATAATTTTCAAAGAACTTTTGCACCCACAGTCCGATCTGCTCTCGGAAGATATTTCTGTAAAGTGGGCATAGGTGATGTCCTTAGTCTGAGTTAATAGGTAAGGCGGTTGCCCTTCAGAGAGGTTAAGCCAAGGATGCAAGTTCTCAGAACGAGGGAGAGTGAAAGCCCACGACGCCGGGCCTTGGGTGTTTGATACCCGCTGCCTTTATTCAACAAGCATGTTCTGTTCCCCAGCAGCCAAATGCACTTTAGAAAGTAATCTCTCTCTCTCTCTCTCTCTCTGTTTCTCTTCCTCTCTCTCTTTATTTTTTTTTCCCAGTGCTTTTCCACACAACGGCCAAAACATAGGCCTCTCCCCTTTCCTGGGGACCCTGAATACCGGGGGGTCGCTGCCAGACCTAACCAACCTCCACTATTCCGCGCCCCTGCCGGCCTCACTGGACACCAGTGACCACATCTTTGGTAGTATGAGTGTGGGGAACAGTGTGGGCAACCTGCCAGCCGCCATGACTCACCTGGGCATAAGAAGCTCTTCCGGTAAGTGCCGTCCACTCACTAAGGGCCGCACCCGTGTAGGTGCCCAAGTGGCTGAATCACAGGTGGCCCCCAGCCAGGCGGCCTATTGGTCGTTCAATGAGAATGACTGCATCCGACTTAGAGATAGTTACATTTCGGTTCTGGTAGCTCTTGAGCCCTGCCGACGTTTCCCTTTGGTGGTCTGTTTCTGCCGGGTGGGATGGGCTCTAGCACACTGGACTAAACCTTGTCCTCTATTGTCCTCACCAGCCCGGGTGTCCTGGGACTGGGACAGTAGGACGGGAGAGTCCAGGAAAACAAGTCCTTTCCTTTCTGTGTCCGTGAACAATGTCTGTGGCTCTTAATCAACGTATGCTGGTGGTTTATAATCACGGCTCTCTCTCTAGAGCCCTCTAATTTCCCATGGGACTTCAAAAGAGAATACTTTGAATTTTACTTTATTTATTATTGTTGTTATTATTTTAATGTTTATTTTTGAGAGTGAGAGCGTGAGCTGGAAAGGGGCAGAGAGAGTGGGGAACAGAGAACCCAAGTGGCCTCTGGTGACAACAGAGAGCCCCACACGGGGCTTGAACTCGTGAACCGTGAGATCATGACCTGAGCCAACGTCGGACGCTCCACCCAGGTGGATGGACGCTGAGCCAACGTCGGACGCTCCACCCAGGCTCAATCAGTCGATTGAGCCTCTGACTCCGGCTCAGGTCATGATCTCACAGTTCGTGAGTTCAGGCCCCACGTCGGGCTGTCTGCTGTCAGCCCAGAGCCCGCTTCAGATCCTCTGTCCCCCTCTCTCTGTGCCCCTCCCCTGCTTTCTGTCTGTCTCTCCCAAAATAAATAAATAAATTAAAAAAAAAAAAAGGATAAAAAAAACACATTGCCATGATGAGACTTGGGTTACTGTACAAGTTTGAGGGCCCGCAGCTCAGATCCTATGTTGGAACACGACTGAATTTACTTGAACCTCCACAGACGCTCTTGTCCATGCCTGAGGCAGGTATTGACCCCGTACTCCCAGTGGTGCGGTCCACCCCTCCCGCTGTAAGCGTTCCCAAGAACTGTGGTGTGGACCGTTCACCCTCTGGAAGGGCTCCCCAGTGACGGTCCACCAGTGGGAAAGGGCCTGCTGGTTCACGCAGGTCAGAATTCACCACTCACAGGAGAGAAGTCCCCTTTAGCTTGGGCAGCTGGAAGCTTCTCTAATGCTCGTAGCAGTGCAGCCATTGTACCACAGAATTTTAGAGTTGATTTCAGAGATTACCTTTATTTACTTACTAAGATCATTTCCTTATCCTGCTGGTCTACTTTCGTGTGCTTGCTGGATTCTGGAGGTACAAGGGCATCCAAGGTCACCTAAACAAAGCAGCATCAGCACTTAGCTCTGTGGGGTCTTGGGGCAGCCGGGGCGGCCCTTGGCACTCTGCTTCAGCTGCAAGTCCTGTGTTCACCACCATCCTCTGTTTTCCTCAAAAAAGTATTATTTTGTCCAGAACATTGTCAGACCCGGTATCAAGTATTTATATAATTTCTAGGTACTCCTTAAAATGCATGTATACAAGGCTGTACGCGTTTTTTGAAACATCTTTGAGCTTTCCCTCTGAATGCATGGATTTGTTTTTTAACCTCAGTTCACATCTTTAGCCCTGATTCTTGAGCCAGCTGGATCTCGGGTCTTTCCATGGAGACTTGCACTGCGCAACAGCTACGTAGGGTTTATCAGAGACGTCTTCCCTATTTAAAATTTTTTTTCTATGTTTTTATTTTATTCTTGAGAGAGAGAGAGAGAGACAGAGTGTGAGCAGGGGAGAGGCAGAGAGAGAGGGAGACAGAATCCGAAGCAGGCTCCAGGCTCTAAGCTGTCAGCACAGAGCCCAATGTAGGGCTTGAACTCACAGACTGCGAGACCATGACTTGAGCCAAAGTCAGACGCCCAACCGACTGAGCCACCCAGGCGCCCCTTCCCTATTTTTTTTAAAGTTTATTTATTTTCAGAGAGAGCATGGGGGAGGGCCAGAGAGAGGGGGAGAGAGAGAATCCCAAGCAGGCTCCAAGCTGTCAGTGCAGAGCCCAGATACAGGGCTCGAACTCACGAGCCAGGAGATCATGACCTGAGCTGAAACCAGGAGTCAGACACTTAACCAACTGAGCCACCCAGGTGCCTCTATTAAAAAAAAAAAAAAAAAAAAAAAAGCATTTTCCAGCAAAGAATGCTTTGTCATTGCTAAATTATAGTAACTTTCATCTACCACCGATTTTTTTTTTTTATGAACATAAAAGAACGCACAGTTCTGCTCACCCCACCTACCAATACCAGAATGATGGACTGAACTTTGAAACACGGCATTCCCATTTGAGATGCGTGGTGGCATTGTTAAGTCACGGAGCAAGAAAGCTCTGTGCCAGGCCTGGCAGGACGCAGGACACGGTCCTGGCCTCATAGAACTTATGCCCCAGAAGCCTGTGCCGTGGAAATGCCTTTTCCCAAACTCTCTTGCTCGTGCTAAAATTCACTACCCTTCCCCCCAAATGACACGAAGAACCGGCGAAAACTTCATTTTCCTTGAATTGGAATAGACTGCCCTTAAAGATTTCCGGGGAGCCGGAAAAGCAAAGAGAAAGCAGGAGACACGGGAGGGGGTCCCTTCCTGTGATCCTCTGGGGTGTCCAGGGTATTGACAGGGTCCCCGCCAAGGCAGCGCCCCAGAGCCATGACTCTCAGTGAAGGGATGCTCTCGGAAGGCAGCGCAGAATCCGGGCAGGTGCCTGGGAAAGCGCGTTCAGGGGCTCTAAACAGAGTGTGTGCGCAGCCCTGGGGTCTTTTGGCCTGGTTGTGGCTGAGCACACACACCCCTGGCCTCTGTCCAGCCCGCCCAGCGGCCGTTTCCACGCTTCCCCGGGAGTACGACTCGCTGTCACCCTGCGGCCACCAGCTCTCAGTCCGAGTGCATCCTTTCCCCACCACGGGCACGTCGGCCACCAGTGCGCTTAGGGGAGCCGCCAGGAGCTCCCCACGGGCAGAACCGGCATCGAATACAGAGAGTAGGAAGTGAAGCTTTCTTTCACCTCAGGGACACGAAAGACTGTGGCAAGTGACGTGTGACTCTGTTGTCCCGTAGGCCTCCAGAGCTCTCGGAGCAACCCCTCCATCCAGGCCACGCTCAGCAAGACTGCACTTTCGTCCTCCCCGAACAGCCACCCACAGACACCCGCGCCCAGCGCCTCTGCCCTTCACCCTTCCCTCCGGCTCTTTTCCCTCAGCAACCCGTCTCTCTCCACCACGGCCCTGAGCGGCCCCTCTCGGCGGCGGCAGCCCCCGGTCAGCCCCCTCACGCTGTCCCCCGGCCCCGAAGCGCATCAGGGTTTCAGCAGACAGCTGTCGGCCACCAGCCCGCTGAACCCCTATCCCGCCGCCCAGGTGAGAACAGACTCTTGGCCCTGAACACTGAGGCACGCGGGGCCTGGAGTCGGCCCACCCTCCTGGGTGTAGACCCCCAGGTCTCAAATGCAGTCGGCCCTCTTGCACGTGCGGGAGAGAGCAGAGTGGGAATAGCTCAGCGCTAATCACTCCCTAATGGCACATTTGTTGTGAGGATCACGGTTTCCAAACGCACAGATTGCAGGCACTAAGTCACAAAAGCTGGGGTTTGGGGAGAGAGCTGGGGTTTGGGCGTAGAGAACCCAATGTAGATGTGTCTAGGATGGGTAGGGGAGACCAGGTTGGGGTTTTTTTGTTTTGTTTCATTTTTTCTTTTTTTTCTTTTTTTTTTTCTTTTCCATTCTTTCTCTCTCTCTTTATTTTATTATTATTTTTAAAATTTACATCCAAGTTAGCATGTAGTGCAACAATGATTTCAAGAGTAGATTCCTTTGTGCCCCTTAACCATTTAGCCCATCCCCCCTCCCACAACCCCTCCAGTAACCCTCAGTTTGTTCTCCGTATTTATGAGTCTCTTCTGTTTTGTCCCCCTCCCTGTTTTTATATTATTTTTGTTTCCCCTCCCTTATGTTCATCTGTCTTGTCTCTTAAAGTCCTCGTATGGGTGAAGTCCTATGATATTTCTTTCTCTAATTTCACTTAGCGTAATACCCTCCAGTTCCATCCATACATATATACGTATATATATACATACACACACCACATCTTCTTTGTCCATTCATCTATTGATGGACATTTGTGCTCTTTCCATACTTTGGCTATTGTTGATAGTGCTGCTATAAACATTGGGGTGTCTGTACCCCTTTGAAACAGCACACCTGTATCCCTTGGATAAATGCCTAGTAATGCAATTGCCGGGTCGTAGGGTAGTTCTGTTTTTAATTTTTTGCGGAACCTCCATACTGTTTTCCAGAGTGGCTGCACCAGCTTGCATTGCCACCAACAATGCAAAAAGAGATCCTCTTTCTCCACATCCTCGCCAACATCTGTTGTTGCCTGAGTTGTTCGTGTTAGCCATTCTGACAGGTGTCAGGTGGTATCTCATTGTGGTTTTGATTTGTATTTCCCTGATGATGAGTCATGTGGAGCATTTTTTCATGTGTCGGTTGGCCATCTGGATGTCTTCTTTGGAGAAGTGTCTGTTCTTGTCGTTTGCCCATTTCTTCACTGGATTATTTGTTTTTTGGGTGTTGAGTTTGATGAGTTCTTCGTAGATTTTGGATACTAACCCTTTATCTGATATGTCATTTGCAAATATCTTCTCCCATTCCGTCGGTTGCCTTTTAGTTTTGCTGATTGTTTCCTTCGCTGTGCAGAAGCTTTTTATTTTGATGAGGTCCCAGTAGTTCATTTTTGCTTTTGTTTCCCTGGCCTCCGGAGACGTGTTGAGTAAGAAGTTGCTGCGGCCAAGATCAAAGAGGTTTTTGCCTGCTTTCTCCTCGAGGATTTTGATGGCTTCCCATCTTACGTTTAGGTTTTTCATCCATTTTGAGTTTATTTTGTGTCTGGTGTAAGAAGTGGTCCAGGTTCAGTTTTCTTCATGTCGCTGTCTGGTTTTCCCAGCACCACTTGCTGAAGAGACTGTCTTTATTCCGTTGGATATTCTTTCCTGCTTTGTCAAAGATTAGTTGGCCATATGTTTGGGGGTCCATTTCTGGGGTCTCTATTCTGTTCCACAGATCTGAGTGTCTTTTGTTTTGTTTTGTTTTTAATTTTTTTTTAACTTTAATTTTTTTTTTTTTTTTGTTTTCTGGTTTTTGAGAAAAAACGAACACGAGCAGGGGAGGGGCAGAGAGAGAGGGAGACAGAGAATCTGAAGCAGGCTCCAGGCTCTGAGCTGTCAGCACAGAGCCCCGACATGGGGCTCGAACTCACAAACCGTGAGATCATGACCTGAGCAGCTGAAGCTGGATGCTTAACCAACTGAGCCACCCAGGCTCTCCCAGGTTGGGGTTTTAAAATTGGTATGAAAAATGACCAGTAACTGATGCTGTAGGTATTTTAAGCCACAGGGGAAAGCCAAAGAAGACATTTAATACCTTTCTGGAGCTTTGATACTGGATCAGACCTCTTCCCTAATTACACCTACAGATTGGAGAATTAGTACTTTTATTGTTCATGAAGTAACAGGTATATAGTAAAGATGAGATCTCTGTAAAAGGCCCCAAATAAATCTAGAAGGAGGCACATCTAGGGGCGCCTGGGTGGCTCAGTCAGTCGGGTGTCCGACTCCAGCTCAGGTCACGATCTCACTGTTCGTGATTTCAAGCCCCGTATTGGGCTCTGTGTGGACAGCTCGGAGCCTGGACCCTGCTTCGGATTCTGTGTCTCCCTCTCTCTGCCCCTCCCCCACTCACACTCTGTCTCTCAAAAATGAATAAATGTTAAAAAAAAATTTAGAAAGAGGCACATTTTGAAGTCACAAGCCTGTTACGAGAGTTTAGATGCCAAAATGTCATATCTTGACTTGTTGACTTTGTTTGTATGTATGTATGTATGTATTTATTTATTTTACTTTGTTTTTATTCTAAGCTCTCAGGGCAGTTCTTCCCATAATCACCAATGACTATATTTTCAACCTATGGCTCACTCCCTGGATACATTGTGACACCATTTACTGCCCACCTCACCATAAATGAGTCATGCTGAGCAAGGAGGGGTTAACAGAACCAGTTACTACTCACTCTTACATGAGTCATCCCTTTGGGGAGAGGGAGAGAGGGTATTTCATAATTGTTTTTTTAATGGTTCTGTTTATGTTATTGGATTGCCTTTAATTTTCAAGATCATTTTATAGGATATAAAAAATAACACTCTTACTCTCTTAACTACATTTTAAGGAGACTGTAGAGGAGAGAGCCTCCTGTTTTGGATGTTTTCCTTTGTGGTGTGCTTAATATTTTGATTTTTTAAAAATTAGTGTTATCCATGCACATGGTTTAAAAAGTCAGATAGTTCTAAAGGGAAATAACAGTTGTCTTCCCCTCCCTGACTGACCACGTTTCTTACTCCCTAGAGATGGTTCCTTCCAACCACTGTAACTTTTTTTTCACGTTTATTTATTATTGAGAGACAGAGACAGAGCGTGAGCAGGGGAGGGGCAGAGAGAGAAGGAGACACGGAATCCCAAGCAGGCGCCAGGCTCCGAGCTGTCAGCACAGAGCCCGACGCGGGGCTTGAACCCACGAACCCACAAACCGTGAGATCATGACCTGAGCCCAAGTCGGATGCTTAACCGACTGAGCCACCCAGGCGCCCCTCCTTCCAACCTTTTTAGCTGATGTCTTTGGTATAACCATGTTATTTCATGCTTGTTTCGTTCTGGACTTCTCCTGTTAGGTTCTATCTGATGACATTCTCCCATGGAGGATTAGGATATAGCTCTCTCCCCAGACCCCACGCACCCACACACGTATTTCCTACCCACCCTCCTCACACCCTGTGCTGTATTGCAATTTTGATGAGAGCAATATTCGGTGTTTAGTGCTTTCACAGTTATAATAGAGCAGTCAAGGGGCACCTGGGTGGCTCGGTCGGTTAAGCGTCCGACTTGGGCTCATGTCATGATCTCACGGTCTGTGAGTTTGAGCCTCGAGTCGGGCTCTGTGCTGACAGCTCAGAGCCTGGAGTCTGCTTCAGGTTCTGTGTCTCCCTCTTTCTCTGCCCCTCCCATGCTCATGCTCTGTCTCTCTGTGTCTCAAAAATAAATAAACACTAAAAAAAAAAAAAAAAAAAAGAAAAAAATGAACATTTTTTTCTTCACCCGGGAGTTAATAAATGTCTTACTTTTTTGTTAGTCTGGTTTTCTGTGTACGTATTATTTATCCCATCCCGGCTCTTGGGGCCTGGCTAGATCTCCTCTCAGTACTTTGAAACACAAGCCCTCCAGTAGCTCCCCAAGAAGGAGCACATGTGGTGATGGCATGACTTAAATATGTCCTTAAACATGACAGGTAGAATACCCATCATTGAACACATAATTGGTTAGGTATAGAATTGAAATCTGAAATAATTTTCTCTTAACATTTTGAAGATACTAATTCATTGCCTTTTGGTTTCTAGAGTTGCAAGTGAGAAATCCAGTGCTATCCTGAGTCTTAACACTTCCAACGAAATCTCCTTTTTTTCCCGCCGGGGGCTTGTAGGATTTTCTTTTTGTCCCCCAGGGTTCTGAAACTTGACGATCATGTGGCTTGACATGAATCTGGATGTTTGGTGGGTTTCCTCAACCTGGAAACTCTTAGCATCCTTCATTTCTGGGAAATCCTCCTTAATTATTTCTTGGATGATTTCCTCCCTTTGATTTCCCTGTTCTCTCTTTCTAGAACTCCTGTTGTGTGAATGTTGAGCCTCCCATCCTTTCCCTCTCATGCCCGTATTTTTGTCTCTCCTCCTCTTTTCACCCTGCTCTCTGGGAGAGCTGCTCAACTTTATCTGCCTGCTATTATGCCAAGTTTTCATCTCTGCTCTCATACTTTTATTATCTTATTTTACTTTAAGTTTATTTATTTTAAGGGAGAGGGAGGGAGAAAAAAGTCCAAGGAGGGCTCTGCACTGTCAGTGTGGAGCCCGTCATGGGGCTCCAACTCACGAGCTGTGAGATCATGACCTGAGCCGAAATCAGGAGCCAGACGCTTAACCGACCGAGCCCCCCCAGGAGTCCCTGCTTTGAAATTGCCAAGAATTCTTGTTTGTTCTCCGAATGTTCCTCTTTACAGCATCATACTCCTCCCGTGGACGCAGTAGCAGTTTTTCACCCCTCCGAGGTTTTCAGTGGTAATTTTTGTTCCAGTTTCTTTTATTTTTTTTTCAAATAGAAATCCTCCAGGTTGCCTAAAAGTAGAGAATATAGTGTCCTGAATCTTTCTGTACTCGTCATCCAGCCTCAACAATCATCAGTGTCTGTGCAATTCTGTTTCAGCCACATCCCTACTTTGAAAAAAATGTGTGCAGAGATACCTATCACAGATACTTTGTTACGCGTGCTTAATAGATGAGGGGTTTTTTTTATAGCCTAAACAGTATAACGGTAATTTTGTTTTTCATGACTACTTCTTGCGGCACAGATTTCTCCAAGTTTCTTTCCTTTGTATGTCTGCCTTAGTCTCTGATTTCCATTCAGATGGTTTCCTCACAGTCTTGTGGTCCTTGGCCCTCTGCTCATCCTTTTTTTTTTTTTTTTTTTTTAATATTTATTTTTGAGAGAGAGAGAGAGCAGAGGAGGGGCAGAGAGAGAAAGGGAGAGAGAGAATCCAAAACAGGCCCTGCGCTGTCAGCATAGGGTCTGACGTGGGGCTGGAACTCACAGACTATGAGATCGTGACCTGGGCTGAAGTCGGACGCTTAACCGACTGAGCCAGCCAGGCGCCCCTCTGCTCCTCTTTAAGAACAGGACACAGAAATACTGATTGGAAGCCCTGTGTAGATGGGTGGGCTTGGTGAGTGTGGTCTTCACTGTAGACTGATCTAGCTTGGCCATTTACGTGGGGGATCCCTGGTGTCGTGTAAGTGTCACGATGTGCTCTCGGGCTGGCCAGATCCCCAGAGGACGCTGGCATACGCCCAGCATCCCGTCTTCCGAGACCCAAGCTGGGGAAGAAAGGGGGAAGCCTCAAGATGCAGTAGTGAGCTCTCTTGAACCCTGTGTTTTCAGTAGAGCGCCTCACCTCCTGGGCTCTGCTGTGCCTTGCGGTCCCTCAGCCGGGTTCTCTCCAGAGCGCTGTCCCCCGCGCCCCCCCCCCACCCCCACCCAGTCTCCCCACAGGCCAGGGCTAAGCCCACCCTTGCCTTGCACAAACTGAGGGGATCCTTCTGGATCTTCACCCCTGCTTCCTGTTGTCCCCCAGCCTGCCACAGGGACCCTGTGATGGAAATCCGGCTGCCTCTTGGTTGGTCCCCACTGCCTCTGGTCTTTCTCAGCTCTGCTAAGCCAGTGCCTGTGCGTCCATCCGCTTTTCGTTCTCCAAATTTTGCTGCCACTTTCTTCCCTCCCGTTTTCCTCGTCCCTGTGCTGTTTATTATTCTGGTGTTATTTCTTTTTAAAGTGTTAATTCATTGCTGTTTCCTGTTGTTCAGTGTTGTTCTAGTGTTTTTAGAGTCGAGTTTGGGGAGGCAGCAGAGATAAGTTATTTTTTTTTTCCCCAACTTACACCAGAAGTTATGGCTTTAAAAAAACAAACATGATTTTCACTGAGGATGCTGGTTAAATTAGCAGGTGTTTGGTTCTGTTTTGTCTTTTTTTTTTTTTTTAAAGACACGAGAAATTGTCATTGAATGGGAACTGTTTTGTGGGGAAGTGAGACTTAAGGTCACTTTGAAGGAGCAGAAGTGGGAGCCTAGCACAGAGGGCCCAGGGGAAGAAGAAGTTGGGCTTTTCTCTCGCTTTGACGGCTCCTAATCTGAAGGGATTTACCGCTAGAACCGCCAACCAAAGCTAATTAGTGGCTTTGTTTTACAGATGGTGTCCTCGGATCGAAGCCCGCTCTCCTTCCTGCCCACAGACGCTCACACCCAGGTGTCCCCGCCGCCCCCTTACCCTACCCCCCAGGATCTCCCCCAGCCCCTCCTGCAGCAGCCCCATGCCCAGGAGCCCCCCGCTCAGCAGCCGCAGGTGGCCTCATCCCTGCCTCCTTCTGGCTTCCAGCTCCTCTCCGCCCAGGTGGGTCCTGAACACCGGTCGGGAGGGAACACTTAGTTTACCCCGAGTTCCACGCTAAACGTTCCCTTCCTTATTCCAATAAGGGTTCACCTGTGACCAACTTCTTCCCGGATGTGAGCTTTGACCAGCAGTCCATGAGGCCAGGCCCGGCCTTTCCTCAACAGGTGAGTGATCACCCAGGCGTGCCTCTTCCTTCGACCAGGAACCGCACTGTTGAGCCTGTTCAGGGTGTAGACTGACCTAGCTCGGCCGTTTCCCTGGGGAGTCTCTGGCATCCTGGATTAGGTGCTCCGCTGCCCTGGGTTCGGGTGTGTTCAGTGGCCGAGGGGACCTGGAATCTCCCCTAGCCCTCAGGTGCTGGTGCCGGCTGCCTTGTTTAGTGGCCGGCCTCTGCAGAAGCGGGTAGGAGACGTCTGGTGACGGTCTAGGCACAGACTTGTAGCATGGCTTATGGCAGAAGGGACCACCACGGTCCACTGATCTATCCTGCTGAGGAGACTGAGACACAGGAGGGTCTCAGGTGGGACCAAAAAGATCTTTTCTTTTCTTTTTTTTTTTTTTTTCTTTTTTAAATTTAAAAGAAAGTTTATTTACATATTTTTGAGAGAGAGCATGAGTGGGGGAGGGGCAGAGAGAAAGAGAGGGAGACAGAGGATCCCCAGCAGGCTCCATGCTCTCAGGGCAGAGTCCACTGAGGGGCTCGAACCCACGAGTTGTGAAATCATGACCTGAGATGAAACCAAGAGTTGGAGGCTTAACTGACTGAGCCACCCAGGTTCCCCTCTTCTTTTTTTTTTCTGTAAGGCCTTTTTTTAAATGTTTATTTATTACTGAGAGAGAGACAAAGCATCAGCATGGGAGGGGCAGAGAGAGGAGGAGACACAGAATCCGAAGCGGGCTCCAGGCTCTGAGCTGTTAGCACGGAGCCCGGCGTGGGGCTCGAACTCACAAACTGCAAGATCGTGACCTGAGCCGAAGTCGGATGCTTAACTGACTGAGCCACCCAGGCACCCCTTCTTTTTTTTTTTTTTTTAAATATCTGTTTATTTTTGAGAGAGGGGGGAAGGTACATACATGCGTATGCAAGTGGGGGAAGGTTCAGAGAAAGAGGGAGAGAGAGAATCCCAAGCAGGCTCCATGCTGTCAGCACAGAGCCCGATGTGGAGTTTGATCCCATGAACCATAAGATCGTGACCTGAGCCAAAATCAAGAGTCAGACGCTCAACTGACTGAGCCACCCAGGAGCCCCCCTAAGATATTTTCATTCAACCACTTCCTTTTGCTTTTTAGGTTCTCCCTAACGATCACTTAAAATATATCTAGATTTTATAGTGTTAAGTGTGGATTGGGCTTAGGATGGGTTAAGAAGAGAAGGGTTTGAGCATTTTACAGATCTTTTTTTTTTTTTTTAAGATTTTTACAATGTTTTTTATTTGAGAGAGAGAGCGTGAGCATGTGCGAGTAGGGGAGCGGCAGAAAGAGGAAGAGAGAGAATCCCAAGCAGGCTCCCTGCTGTCAGCGCAGAGCCCGGCAAAGACAAAGACATGGGCTCCATCCCAACAAACCGTGAGATCATGATCTGACCGCAAACCTGGAGTCGGATGCTTCACTGGCAGAGCCATCCAGGCGCCCCTACGGGTCTTAATAACAATTACAACAGTAAAATAAATAAATAACAGATGTTTCCCGAGTGGGCCATGGTAAAGACTCATGGCATAAACCAGTAGTCCCTGCCTTCTCATTTTCTGAAGAAGCCGGTTTAGTTTATGAGTCAGAGAGTCTCCCTGAAAAATGATAGGAATGCATACTTTTGAAAGATTTTTAAAAAATAGTTTGGAATATGCACTTCTGGAAAGGCACCAGAGACAGTGTCCAGTTCTGACCAGTCGTCACCGAGGCTTTCTCATGGAGAGGGCCCTGCCTAGGGTTCCTTCACCTGAGAAGGAAAGGGTATCACCTCCTCATTTTTCTAGAAACCAAAGGGGGAAAGAGTCCATTGGTCACATCACTTCCTTGGTGACACCTGGAACCTTTGGAGGGCTCCCACGGACGGTGTGTCCAAAGGCCTTGCTGTGGCTGGGGGGAGAAGGTGTGAGACCAGAGCTGCAGCAGAGACCATGACTGTTGATGTCTCCTAATGGCTTAGTGGGCCCGGCCGTGTGTGAACGGGGACGAGCCATCCACACTGTGGGCCTCAGGGACCCGCTCCTCCACCCGAGCACCTGCTTGCCTGAGAGGAATATTCTGTGTGGGATCCTAGAGAGAAGGGACCCTAAGACGGTCTTGCTCTGGGAGCACCTTGCATTATTCTCTCCTTGGAAGCAGAGGTCATTCCTTACAGTGTAACGTTGGATGCTTCCAGGTGCCCCTGGTGGAACAAGGTCCGCGAGAACAGGACGCGTTTCACTTGAGACCAAACCTGTATTCCAACTGCGGGAATTTCCCAAACACCATCCTGACAGGTGAGCGTGGGCCAGCCCTCAGCCTCCTTACCGTGTTCGTTTCGTTGTGCCTTCACACACACCGTCGTGAGATAGGATACACGACATCAGATGAGGCCAAAAATTAAGGTCTCCGGCACAGCGTTGCCTTTTTGAAATACAGGTGCCCGGCCCCAGAGACGGCGAGCCAGTGGGGAAAGGGCCTGGTGCCCCAAGCCTTTTCCGAACTAGTTAGTTTGAAGTTCAAAGGGAGAAAAGCCTGCAAAAATGGGAGGGTCGTGGAACTGACAGAAAAGCGCGTAGATTCTAGAGCCGCCTGGACGCCTGGGAGTGGGTGGGACACAGGCAGTCACTGTCACGGGGGGAGGACGACAGGGACGGCCTCTGAGGGGATCTCCTCCGTTGGGTGTGCCTCTTAACCCGCCCTGTTTTCCCCCTTGCTGCTCCCTCCAGAAGACTCGAGTACCAGCCTGTTCAAAGACCTCAGCAGTGCGCTGGCGGGCATGCCCGAGGCCAGCCTGCACCCGGACACTCCATTTCCTCTGGAAGAAGAGCTCCAGATCGAACCCCTGAGCCTGGACGGACTCAACATGCTAAGTGACTCCAGCATGGGCCTGCTCGACCCCTCTGTTGAAGAGACGTTTCGGGCTGACCGACTGTGAACAGAACAGACCAGGACCAGAATTCTTTTCTGAAGGCGCCGAAATAGGACGGCACGGAATGGAGCCAGCTACCCCCCCTGCCCACCGGGCTTGAGTCATCTCGGGCCTCTGACACGGCAGGAGCCAACGCCATGACTCCTGGCTTTGCGACGAGGTCCCGTCTCCTACGCCGTGGCTTATTCTAGACCAGAGAGCCATGCACGGCCTCACCGGCCTGCGGCGAGGGTTATGCTCTGCAGGCCGGCTGACCTGACCGGGAGCCTCCCAACGACTCGGTCATCACCGTGCCCGGTGCGTCTTTTTCTCGGCCCTCTAGTCGGTCCATGTGTACAAGCAGAAAAGAACCCTGTGATGGGGGCGGCAGTCGCCTGGTGCTGTGCCCAGAACCACTGATGTCAGTCAACACTGAAGATCGGGCCCGGAGCGGAGGCGGTTGGGGGCCACGGGCCTCCGGGAGCTGGCTCAGCCACGAGCAACGGTACCACAGCACCGCGAGGCCGCCTCCGCCCTCGCGCTTCCGGCCGGGCACCCGCCAGCTGGTGGCGGGCGGTCCCGGGGCACGGCAGACGGCCGTGATCTCGGAGATGCCTTAATTCCAATATGAAGAATTCTTCCCACGATTTCAAGCACAGACCCGAGTTTCGCAAACTGAATGCTCGTTTGTCTTCTCCAAGTATGTAATCTCCTTTCTGCTGCTTTGGGACACCTCTTCCTGTGGACGAGGGGGGAAAGGGAGGACTATTTTATTCAGTCACTGAAAACAAACAAAAGTCCCCTGGTAACGGATGAGCCCGAAAAGAGGAAAGTGCTTCCTCTTGACGGCTGGGGCGGAAAGCATGGAGGGCAAGACACACGATGTCTTCCAGGTGAGCTCCAGACAGGTGCCGGCCTCCCCCTCTGCAGTCGGCTGGGAGGGGGTGGCGGGAGGTCTGAGCAGCAAGGTGGGGGGTGGGGGGGTTTCTCTGTGCCATGGGAGTGTGAATGTAACCCCGCTAGGCTGATAGGCTGTAAGCTCCCCGAGGGCAGGGACCGTGCCTTATTCGTTATCAGACCCCTAGTTCCTAACAAGTGCCAGCACTCAGTAGGTGCTCATAACTGTGCATTGAATGCATGAACGGACGAACGGAGGAATGAATGAATCTGCCTCACTACGAGGCAGTCTAATCTTTCGCGTACCCCCATTCCCTGCCAAACCTCAAGGCTTTAGCTTTTTTTTTTTGGAACACTTGTGCGTGTTCAGCATGCACTTTAATATGCTTTTAACACTAGGTGACCAAATTCACGATGAGACAGGGCACCCCGATCTCCTCGAGGGTGTGCGCCACAGCAGGTAGGTGGAAGCTGTCTTCTGAGCGCCACCGGAACGGCACCGAGCAAACTGGGGCCTCCCAGGCACTGGGACCCCGGGGATCCCGGCCAGGCCCCGAGCTCCAAAGATCTTTTTCCTTTCAGATCCGTGTTGTGCTCTAAATTGCTTTCAAAAAAGACCATCATTCTTTGAGATCGAAGAAACAGTCTGCAGTAAAAGGAAGGCCTAAATCATGAAGCTATCATTAGTCATTAGTACTTTAGCATAAAGTAGTGTTAGCGGATTTCCACCACTGCCGGCCTTCTGACCTAACCCCTGGCCACACGCCTGACGGGTGGGTTTGAAGAGCACCTCTGGGGATGGGCCTGGGCAATGGGGCAGAATGTGGGCATGGCAGGAGGGGCCGGGGAGGAGAGGAGCACTGAAGGAAAGCTGGAAGACGCTGGAACTTATGCCGGGACAGCCACGGCCTTTTCCAGAGACACCGGCAGAGTCGCTGAAGGTTGCTGGACCGCCCCCACCCACAGCAGCAAGACCGCCCTGTGCCCCACGACGAGAGGAGTCCGTAATGGGATCCTGGGCTGTTAACCTCTGCAGACCTCTTTCCATTTCTGTCTCCAGAGGGATCACGTCACCTGCAGTCTTACAAATAACCCTGATGGCACAGCTGCCTCTGTGGGGCCCGAGTCCCCCGCTTCACGTTAGCCCCAAATCTCTGCCGTTGAATTAGGAAATCCACCCAGGGTCCTTGCCTGAGCTCCAAGCCCCATTCCCAGTTAAAACTTTCATACTGAGGATCTCGGGAGGGGGTGACTCTTTGTTAAAGCACAAGCCTTTTCCCTGTGATGCTACGCCATTCCCCAGCGTGCGGAAGAAGCCGGCTCCGTGCTGCCTGCCCTGTGCCACAGGCCCCGGGAAATCTGACCTGGCCTCTCAGACGGGGATCAGGGATCGCTGCCCCTGTTAGGAGTTTGGTTTTGTTTTTTTTTTTTTAGGTACCAGCATAACCCACTCTTTGCACAGTGCCTTACCCGTGGGGCTGGGGGCCCAGCCCTCTGTCTGCACAGCAGTCCTGCCTGTATAGTGTGATGCCTGGGACCCGCGTGGTGCAGACCCGCCGTCCCTAGGGCATTCTCCCTGGGACTGGTGCAGAGGCTCCCAGGAAAAGTGACTTGTCTGGGGGAGTGTAATGACGACAATGAGGTTTAGCACTGAATTAAATTTGTCCTTAGGTCCACCAGCCCATTCTTTTCCCGTGAAAAGGTGTTGGGCATTATACAACCCACTTTGCTTAGCCAGTGTCAAGGACACCCGCGGACGGGTGTCCCTCCGACCTCCAGCGCGTAAGCCTACGCTCATCGCTGCCTTTGCAACAAACCAGGCGAGGCCCTCGGCATCTGAAGTGGCTGCATACACCAGAATAAACTATCTTCCAATATTTAGTCTTGTTACAAGAAACCGATGGCTGTACTATTCTCATTTATTAGCAGTTAAACAATATAGAACTAAAAACCTATCTGTGTTCCATTTTTTCCCTCATTTCCATACAGTTGTGGTTTTTAGGACACACGGTGTTAGGAGAAACATTTTTTGATCACGTCAAAACCACCACAAATTCTCCTTTGTCCCATCTCACTTCTCCTGTGTGCCGGCCCACGTGCGCATTCGAAGACCTTTCCAGCTCTGACTCCCGTCGGCTCTGTCATGCACAGAGGGTTCCGTTGCTTGGCGAAGGAGCCCTCACAGCAACTAATCAGACTTTCTGCCAGTGTCCTAACTCCCAGGTCCCTTGTTAAACAATATTTAAAGATTGGAATTTGTATAAAGTAGCTTCCAAGTTTTATAATACGTCGTTTTACATCTTTCGTAATTAAAAGCAGCACAATAAGGTTGTATCTGCGCTTGGTGTTTTCCTTCAGCCTCGGGCGACGTGAACTTGGGGAAGCGCCGCCTTCGCAGCTAGGCCTGTCGCTGGGCTTCCGGGTCCTTGGCTCGGCGGGTCCTGCGTGGGCCCCGCTTGTCGTGTGTTCCTAACACGCGCTCTTGCCCCTGTGCCCGGGAGAGCGGGGCCTGAAATTGGGCACGTGGTTCCTCTGAAGCCGTGGGTACCAAGGGCAGAGGGTGGCCTGGCAGCGCCCCTTCCAGACCCCTGCTCCGGCCCTCACCTAAGACCCCTCCCCTTTGGAGGTTCAGGCCACTGATGCTCCTTCTCCCGGTGTTCTGCTGTCATATTCTGCCCCCACCCCCAGCACTCCCCTCCTCGCCAAGAGCTTGGGCTCTGTTTTCTGCCCAGCCCTGTCCCCTCCACTTTCCAGCAGGTTTCCAGGCCAATTCACCCCCATGCCCTCTACCCCAGCCGTGCCTCCTTCAGACCCATCTCCTCAGCCACGTCCAGGGCTTGTCACAAAGGTGACTCTGCCGAAGGCTTACTCAGAAATCCCGTCTTTGGCCCAACTTTCTGGGCCACCATGTCTGCTCTGGTCCACACACACCCTGTCCTTTGACCCCACTGAGAATTCTCTCCCTTGACCCTTCTTTCGGCCTCGCGGGCCTCTCCTGGCTTTCCCCCCTTCCCTGAGCAGTGGCCTCCATGACAGGGTCGCAGCCCTCCTTCGGCTCTGATCCTCGGCCTTTCCCTGCTGGGATCCCCACAGGAGAAGACCAGCAACCCCACTCTGTCCCCTAAGCTGATCCTCTCCTGCCTCTCAGGAGTGTTCCGGAACTCCCCTCTCCAGACGCCCAGACATTCAGGCCCCTGGGGGCAGCTCCCTCAGCGCCCCACCTGCCGTCCGTCCCTCCGCCTTTCCCAAATTACCCCAAATCTCTGTCCCTCCCCAGTACCTTCCCCCGCCACCTTGCCTAGTTCTCGCTTGCCACACGGTGGCTGATCTGCTCTTCCTGCGGTAACGTCCCGCTGCCCCAGACCTCATCCCTCTCCAGACTCTTCTTCCTGTACATATATGCCTTGTCTCCTCCTCACTAACAGCAAACAGAAGGAAACAACCCTTCCCCAACCTGGCTTCTCCTTGGACCATCACCTTGTCTGCTCTCCCTCCTGGAAGAGTTGATCATGCTCTACTCATACCCTTCTCTTGACCCGGCTGCAAACCCCTCTGCCCAACACCCGGTCCCAGCCCCTCTCGCCTGTCCAGTCCCTCTCCTGACCTTTAAGCCCTGTGGCCACTCGCTTCCCCCCCAAACCCTCTCTTTGGTTCTTGTTCACTCAGGTCACATGTCCATTTCCTCCGTGTACCCTCCTCCCTGGCCATCTTTTCCACGTCAGATCAGCGGTCCCCAGGCCACCTGTCCAGTGCTCCAAGTAGACCCCCACACGCAGCCCCCTACCCCACCCACCTGTTCGCTCAGGTTCACCTGCACCCCACCCCATGCCGCCAGCTGCCTTCGTCCTTCGTGGATCTGTGTGCACCAGCGAGCACCCATAATCACCCTTGGACATCCGCCTTCTCCGCGGGAGTCTAGACTGCCAGGACAGGGGCCACACTTGCGCACTAAAGTACCCTTCTCCGGGCCTGGCATGTAGCAGGTGCTCAGGAAATACTCTCAAACTCCTGTATGCTCCCTCTGAGACCACGGTCTCCACCCTGACAGTAAAGCTGGATGCAAGCCGTCCTGCACACCCCTCCCCTTCACTTGTCAGACCCAGCCCGAGTCCCAGGGCCATCTCAGCCTCCATTCTCTCCTCAGCCTCATGGCCTGGCTACCTCCTCACCTCCAGCCCCGTAAGACAGCCTCAACGTGCCTTCAGAAATCAACAGAGTAACGAATTTCACTGTGTGCCTCAGGGTCCCTATCTATAAAACGGGACAATAAGCGCCCTCCCCCCCCCCCCATTTAATAGCGCCGTGGAGGGTAAAATGAACTCACACAAAGGACCTACAATTGTGCCCAGCACCTGACAAACATTCAATAAATGTCAATCGTTACAGGTATTGTCTGTTGTGTGAATATGCTGCCCTCCCAAAGGCAGGAGGCACAAGCCTTTCGTAGCACTGAACTTGTACAATGCTCGCTTTCAAATACGAAATCCTAGTACAGAGAGGAATGTTTTGACCTTATTTTCGTCCTATTGGCCTAATGAATGCTGTACCCTTGGCAAGTATGGAAATCAAGAAGCCCCTTACATGCGACTATGTCCCAGTGTGGACACTAGATGGAGCTGAGACCATAAGAGTGGCTGTTCCGACCCAGAAACAGCTGGATTGAGCCACCTGACCCTCTTAAATTTAGCCTCTGGACCGGGGTGGAGGCCGTGCTGGTTCCAACTGGATCCTCTGACCGCCGAGTGCACCGAGAGGTCTGTCCAGTGACCACTCAGCCGCGGACGCCAGACACTGCCCACCACACGTCCCTCACGGCCACCTGAACGTAAGGCAGGACAGGGTGACTTCCTGGGTTTATAAGAGGCGCAGTCACCCGGCTCAAGGCGGGGCACACGCTCTGCGCCCCAGGCCGGGCGCCTCCCACCGGCCGCAGCACGGGGCTCCCGAGGCTCAGTTGTGCAAGCGGAGCTGCGGAAACCGCGTGGCCTCGCCCTCCCGCGGTGACCTCGCAGCTGGGGGCCCGGCCCCGCCCCGCCCCGGCCACCAACGGGGACGACGAGCGTCCTCACCGCGGAGGGGGGGAGGGAGGAGGGGGGAGGGGGAGGGGGGGGGGGGGGGGCGGCTGGGCGGGAGCTCCGGAGCCACCCCCGCCCCATTTCTCTTTTCCAGAAATGTATTTTTTTTTTAAGGTTTTGTTTTTAGAATAGCGCCCCGCTCGTTATGAGACACTCGTGTCACACTCAAAAGTACAAACAGAAAATGCTCCAGTGGACACCAGCGCCCCCAGAATTCTCGGCAGCGACCTCTTTCTCTGTCCATTTCAGAGAGAAGGACAGATGGACGGATGGAAATCTTTCCCAGAAAAGGGCTCCTGCAATGATACACGCTCTTCGGGGGGGAAAGTACTTAAGTTCAACAGAACAAAAGGAAGCCTGGATGTAACTGAAGACATTGCCCAACTGCAAATGATTGTGCTTCTTATGTTTCTCAATTATTTCCCTAAAAGGAAAGAAAAATACCAAGAGGCTGGATTCATTCTTTAAACATGTTTCCACTGTAGATGGCATCTCTTGACAGCCGGTGATTTGGGACGAGGAAATGAGCTCACCCGCTTCCTATCCCCTTCCCCTCCCAGAAGCTGTGAGTTCTTATTTTTACATTGTCGAGTTCTGTGCTCCTTGCATCCTGTCCTGTAACCATCCTTCCCACCATTGTTTGGCTCAGTTCCGTGCAAGCATATGGGTGTTCTGCTCACGGCCAGTCCTTTCCAAATGAGCTTCCTGGTCCTCTGTTCCCGAGTCCTTCAGCTGGGAGCTCCTCCGGACACCTTGACTTGGCCTTCAAGGACTCTGTTCCCCGAGAGGGTCCTGTTGGTCCCAGCCTCTGGGTTGCGGCTGCCAGGCTGCAGGTCTGGAGACCTGAAGCACAGCCCGGGGGTAGGTGGATGGTCGAAAGGGCTGACGGATGCCCGGTGAAACCGGCACAAATCCCCAGTGTTGGGTCAAGCACTGCACTCACCAAGATGATTCCTTGCTGAAAACCGAGTCTTGAACTTGTATGTGGTGATACACAGTTGAAGTTTTAGATTTTGGAAAGAAGGGAAACGCCTAGGGGGTGGGGGTGCAGAGAGGGGTATGGAATATTGTGTTGAAAGAAAGGACAGGCCAGGCTTCTGGCCCAGGGAACCTCCATGACCATGTTTCCCATCACTACCCTCACCCCCGTACATTTCATCCCATTAACAGCAGTGCCCTCTCCTGTCTGCACTTGGAGAAATCCAACTTCTTCAGTGCCTAGGTCAAATGCCACCTCCCCTGTGAAGCCCTTCTGTGACGTTTGGATCATTATTTGGCAAATATTTACTTCCCTCCTCTCCCACTGTGGGAAGAGTGATGAGATGTTTAGAGACCAGACGTGGAGCCAACCACGACATGGGCTTGGTGGCAGAGCATGCCTACTTGGGCTTCCGTCATTGCTAGGAGCACAGATCCCCCCTGCATAGCTCGCTCGTTCCAAGACAGACCTCAACCAAACCCCTGCCAGGAGCCAATCTAGCTAGGCCCAGCAAAACTGGCAGTGGGGTCAGAAGTACATGCTTATAATGTAAGCCATTGAATGAAAGGGCCATTTGTTACGCAGCATTGCTGCGGTGATGGTTGACCGATGCACTTTCTCTATCCGTTTTCTCTTTTGTGCTTGAGCTGTACTTTGTCCCACAGCTTTACTTTATTAACCCTAGAACTGATTTTGTTGTAGAGTCTGGCTTCCCTCTGGTCTATGAGCAGCTTGAGGCGAGGACGGTGTCTGACTCAATTCTGACAACCCGGTGCCCAGTTGAATGGCACCCAAAGTCATCCTTTCCATCTGCAACCTCTCCAGGACAGCCGGTCTCAGTGGAGAGCCCAAGGCCTCTGCTTCCAGGACACATCTGCAAATTTGGACAAGAAGGTTCAAAAGCCCCACACTTTGGTATCCACTGCCAGGGAAAACACTCAGAGCACAGCTGCCCTCACCTGGGAACATTGGGACAACGGCCTCTTTGATAGGCTAAGGAATGGAAACAGGGAGACAACCTGGTAAGTTCATATGAGAGGGGTGGGGACGGGGAGAATATAAACAAAGAACCCTAGAGCCACAGAAACCTTGGAAGGCCAGTTTGCAAGGTGTCCAAGTAACCGGGAGGCAGTGATAGCACAATGGAGGTCTGTCCCAGGGGGATGAACACCAGAGGCAGGGTTCTGGGGTTGGGAGAGGTAGCTGCAAACTGGGGTTTCCAAACTCTGCCCACCAGCATCTTGCCATGACAACCTAGGTTCCAGCTAGCCTAGTTTCCTTAAAATTCATCATCCAAACCTGGACACTTTCTGAGAGGCAAAGCAGACACTATTCATAATTATGCCAGGACGGGGGTGCCTGGGGGGCTCAGTCGGTTAAGTGTCCGACTTCGGCTCAGGTCATGATCTTAACAGTTCATGAGTTCGAGCCCCGCGTCGGGGTCTGTGCTGACAGCTCAGAGCCTGGAGCCTGCTTCAGACGGTGCGTCTCCCTCTCTCTGCCCCTCCTCCTCTTCCTCTCTGCCTGTCTGTCTCTCTCAAAAACAAATAAACATTAAACAATTTTTTTAATAAAAACAATAATCGTGCCAGGACAACGGACATAATCAGGGATGGCCAACCAAAGAGAGACGTGCGGTCAGCCTGCGTTGCAAGGAACCAGACCTAGAGGCAATATTGCTTAGGGGCTGAGCGCATGGGCTCTGGAATTAGAGACCTGGGTTCAAACGTGTCTCTGCCCATCCTGGCTGTGAAGCCAGGGCCAGTCAGTGGCCTCTGTGTGCTTCAGTCTCCTCATCTATAAAATGGGGACGACGATGCCCACCTCGTGGGCTTGTGCCTGCCCCTAGTAAGTGCTCCCTAAATGTTAGCTTGTCATGTTTGCCGTAATTCTTTTTAATAAGTCAGCCCTTTATTACCGGACTTCAGAAACACAGTAAAAGGATTTGCTGAGACCACCAAGCTCACACTCTGGAAGGAGCACTGAATAGAATTTTCTCGGCACGCAGAGGGGTCCTGTCTGAGCCCCCATCTTCTCTCCCTAAGGAACCGGGGGGACCGGCCAGTCTGGCCAGGGTGCAGGGGTCATCCTCAGCTCTTTCCTGGTTCCGGAGCCTCAGGACTCACCTCAGAGGATGCTTAGTCTCCACCTGCTCAAAGCCGGGCCTCGTGAGTACCGACTCTTCCTTAACCAGTTTCCACAAGGGCTGCGTTTCCCCTCAGCAAGCCCTGCACCTTGCCAGGGCTGGGGTTACTGATGGGGGAGCCTCGCAAGCCGGGACCTCCCTTCCCGGAAGCCAGGCCAACCCAGCCCCAGTCCCCTGGCCGCTCTTGCTTGATCCATCTGGCCGATCGGACGTTCTCTCCCGGGAACCCGAAGCTTGAGTGGGAGAGACACAGAGTCCGGGTGTCATTGAAATTGAGCCACATTCACGGCAGTGCCCCAGAGGGGAGGCTTCCACCGAGGCCCCCGAGCAGCTAGCATTGTGCCTGCTTCTTTGCCTGTTCCTCTGAGCCTGTGCAGCTCCACTAACCTCAAAAGTCCCCAGGAGTCCCCGGGAGTGAGGACTTCAGCGGCCAGCTCGCAAAGACCGAACTCTTGAGGCGTAGCGTGAGAATCACTGCAGCTCTGGTCCCCAGCCGGGGTGGCCATCCTGCCGCCCCCGCCCCCCCCCCCCCCCCCCCCCCCGCCGGCTCGTGTTGCTGGCCCTGCCTTCTGGATCAGGTGGTGGTGGTGGGAGCTGGCGAGACGTTTCACTTCCTGCTGCAGGTAGCTGTCCCTGGCCTCGCTCCGGGGAATTCCTAGTGTCACATTGTCACACACCTCTAGCCATCACAGACAGTGCTGTCCAGTTCCCCACCTCCCTGCCAAGGCCTGGCAATCTCGGGCTCACAGGATGCTAATGACGGGTGCACAGATGAGCGTCCCACAGGCCTGAGGTGGGCTGGCTGCTTGGGTGCAGCGGCAGCGATCAGATGTCTTACCGAAGGACTTTCCAGAAGCTTTAATGTGCCAACCCACCTCCAGGAGGTTGATGTGGTAGGGCAGCATTTCTCAAGCTTATTTAGCCCTGAATCCTGTGTTCTGGGCCCACCTTGTGAGCCGGAAGTTCTATGGAACCTGCTGGGAAAGGCGTGGAAACAGGTAGGGATGGGTGAGGGCAGGATGCAGGGGGGAATTAGAGACTTTGAAAGGACCAGACGAAGAGAGGGGAAAGGATGCGTCCAACAGGGAGAAAGAGCTCAAGAGGAGGAGAAGTCACCCAGCATTTCCGACATGCCCGTGGGCCCAGGCTCCAAGAAGCCTGAGAGAGGCCTCTGACCAGTCCGTGAATATTATTATTGCATCTACTGGTTACCAATGTTAATAAAAGCAAGCGACCACCCCAGAAGCCGCACCTGAAACTTGAATGGGAAATGGAGATGGGCTGCTGCCCGTGAAGAGCGCCCCCTGGTGTTCTCTCGCTGCCTCTACAAACCTTTACGGGCACCTGTCGTGGGACTTGCTGGCCGGCAGCCTCTGGTCCACAGCTGATTTTTTTTTTTTCTTTCTTTCTCCAATTCAAAATAGTCTGCCTGGTCGTCTCGTTTGTGTGAATGTGAATGTGACTCAGTAGATTTTTTTCTTTTTTTGGTAAAATGATCATTATCACTTCCAGGTGATATGATTCTAGACCTGAAAACTTGGGAGAAAATTTTAAAAATATTGTTTTTTTTTTTTTTTTAGTATAGTTGACACACAAGAGAAAATCAAATTTAAAAACACAAGAAACCGTAAGAGAAATAAATTGTACAATTACGTAAGGATTAACGACCGAGAGATTGAATCAAGATGGCAGCTTTGCAAAGCTGCCCAATCCCAACCCAACCCTCTAAACGCGACCAGAGATAACGTATTTAAAGTCCCTGTCGTGGGGCTAGAAACTGCAGAACGATATCCTTAGTATCAGAAATTATGAGGAATAAAGGATGCTGGAAAGTGAAAGGCAAATAGATGAGACCGAGTTGAAGGAAAAAAATCTAACCTCCAATGTTTAGGTAAAGATGCCTGTAAGAGAGAGGCTGGCTGCAAGGGTGTGCCAGGTGTGGGGAATGGGGTCCAGGGAGCTGACAAGGTGACAGGCGGGTGCGGTTGAGGGCTTGCTGCTCCCCCATCCACTGGGGGAGCTGGCGACCAGCAGCTGGCGACCCATGCCTCTGGCAGACAACAGAGAGATAAGGACAAACTGGGGGACCAGGATGGGACACAGGGCTCATTTCCTTTGTAAACAATGAGCCCTCTATCAATAAGATAAAGGCCAACACCCAACTGAAAAACTGGGATCAAGATAGAATCAGGCAGTTTGTGGAAAATGAAACATACAAATAACAAATATCCATATGAAAAGATTCTGGACCTCACTCGTCATTAAAGAAATGCTAATTAAGACAAGGAGATACATGTGGCTCATTATTTAAAAAAAATTTTTTTTTAATCTTTATTTTTGAGAGAGATTGAGAGAGAAAGACAGACCGTGAGCAGGGTAGGGGCAGAGAGAGAGGGAGACACAGAATCCGAAGCAGGCTCCAGGCTCCAGGCTCCAAGCAGTCAGCACAGAGCCTGATGTGGGGCTCACCATTAGCAAAGATTTCAAAAGAGTGCTCGGGGCTAGTGAGGGTGTGGGGAACAGGCTGATGGGATGTAAATTGGTGCACCCTTTCTGGAGGACAATTTGACATCAGCTATTGAACGGAATTTAATGTACTGGAAGAAAATAGGATAAAATATATTTTTTATATTCTCGGAGTAGGGAAAACCTTCCTAAGGAAGCCACAAAATCTAGAAACCTTAAAGGAAAAAAATGAACAGATTTGGCCTCAAAAATTCTTAACTTCTGTAGCACTAGAGACCATATCAGAGATGAAAGATCAAGTATAGGGGCGCTTGGGTGGCTCAGTCGGTTAAGCGTCCGATTTCGGCTCAGGTCATGACCACGCCGTTCGTGAGTTTGAGCCCTGCACCAGGCTCTGTGCTGACAGCTCAGAGCCTGGAGCCTGCTTCGGATTCTGTGTCTCCCTTTCTCTCTGCCCCTCCGCTGCTCACTCTCTCTCTCAGGAAACAGACATAAAAAAAAAAAAAAAAAAGAGCAAGTGTAGAGAACAGGTGCAACACACATAACCTAAAATAGCAACATGCATAACAACTTAAAATACACAGAGTCCCTCCGTAGAGAATCTAAAGCTTTATATTCCAAAATATAAACGGTCAAAGGACACGAACAGGCAAGTCACAGGAGAATTCAAGTGGCTTCTAGTTGAGAAGGGACACTTGTGCTCGCTAGGGGTCAGAGAAATGCAAATTTAAAAATTGAAAATATTTAGTGCTGGCAAAAGGAAAAGAGTGGTTTTGTATGCTGTGGTCATTGTGTGTTGATAGAGTCTTTAGACGGGCCATCGGGAGAACCTGTCAACATGTAAAATGTGCAGATAAACTTCCAGGAAACTTTTCTTTGGGAATACCCACTTCTGTGGAAATACCCGCTCAACTGTACGTGGATGTGTCAGAAAGTACAGTAAACCCTTGGTCTGCGAGCATCATTCGTTCCAAAAACATGCTGGTCATCCAAAGCCCTTGTATATCAAAGCGAATTTCTGCATAAGAAATAATGGAAACTCAGATGATTCGTCCCACAAACCAAAAATATTCCTGTAAAAATGATGACGGTACCGTAATATAATACAAAATGATAAGAAAATACAAAATATAAAGAAAAATAAACAAATTAACCTGCACTTACCTTTGAAAACCTTCGTGGCTGGTGTGAGAGAGACAAGCGAGAGGAGAGTGATTGTGTAGGACGACTTTCACGATCACTGACGGAATCACTGCTATTGGCCAATGGAATCTTTTTCTTTTCGTGCAACTTTAACAAGGAGCCTGTCCAATGACCTAGAATGAGCAAAGCATTCTTAAACTCGCTCTTGTCTGGAAAAGCAAAGGACTGTCCCGAGGTGCTTTGAAGTGACAAAAAATACACTAATGCCAGTTGTGGGCACCTTCCAATGTTCTGAAAAATCACTGATCTCTGCCAAACACTGCAACCTGAGACCGAGCATCCAAGCATGGGAGACGATCACCCACAATCCTACAGCGCGCGCGCGAGCGCGAGAGAGAGAGAGAGAGAGAGAGAGAAAACCATTGGGCTCAATTGTGATCATGTGATATCCTGCGTCACGTCCTACTCGTATTGCAAGACACCGCTCGTTTATCAAATTAAAATTTATTAGAAATGTTTGCTCGTCTTGCGGAACACCCGCAGAACAAGTTACTCGCAATCCAAAGTTTCACTGTATGCTCATCACAGAACTGTTCGTATTAGAAAAACAATGGAGAGGATCTAAAGAATCAGAGAGCGAGAAGAGAAAGGCGACTTCACTTTTTGTATGTTGGTGTGTGAGCTTTTTCTATTTAATATTGTTTTAAGTTAATGCCCCAGAGGGGGGAAATGCTCTGTGTCTGATTTTCTGGAAATTATTACAGTGAAATTCCGGCACCTGCTTTCCCCAAACCCCATTCACATGTCCCCGAAATCAATCCAAACAAGGTCTCAGGCACAGCCCAGAACAAAAGAGGAGGAGCATAGCTTAGACTCCGGGATCCTTGTAACCCAGCACCTCCTAAAGGGAAGAAAGGCAGAGGTAGATTCCCTTCGCACCACACCTTACCCCACCTGGCTGGAGAGGCTGATGTCAGGTGAGGATGTGGCCACATCTGCATGGAGGAGGCAGGAGATATCTGGGCTTAGCACTCTGCCCAGCCCAGGAGAGGGACCCAGGACAACAGCCTAATCCTCCGGCATCAGGTTCAGAATAGCTTCGAGGAGAGCAAGGAAGAGAACTCACCCATGTCACCCCAAGCCCGGGGACATTTACAGTGAGGTCACGTAGACTCGGGGGCCCAGGAGAACAACCCGGGTACAGGAAGAGCCAAGACGACGGTAAAGCAGGGCGGTGGGTCTTTGCACTGTCCTCCTCCAAACAGCATGAGTGACTCAGCCCTCCCGAGGGTGCCACGTTCTCTCTGCTTCCGCCATTTGGTCTCATCTCACTCGTGACCCCCCCTCCATGTGAGTCCTACTCAGGGCTGATGATCCAAATACCTAACAGCTACCAGAGCATGGGCCCCCGCCAGGCAAAACAGACACCAGCTGTGAACAACGGAAAGAGATAGCAAATTACCCCCTAAACTCGCTGGCTTAGAACAACAAACGTTTATGATCTCACCCACTTATGGGTCAGGAATTTGAAGCCGCTTAGTTGGATGGTTCCGGCTCAGGGTCTCTCAGGAAGTTGTAGTCAAGAGGTTCAGGTGGAGTTACAGTCTTTCGAAGGCTTGGCCTGGGCTGGGGCATCTGCGTCCAAGGCTGTGGGCAGGAGGCCTCCATGCCCCGCCCCCACCCCCCCCCCCAGCGGACCTCTCCAGAGGGCCGCTTGGGCGTCCTCACAACATGGCGGCTGGCTTCCGCAGAGGGACTGACCCAAGAGAGCAAGGCTGAGTCACAATGTCTTTTATGACCTACCCTCCAAAGTCACACACTGCCATTTCTGCAGTACCCTAGCAGTCGCACAGGTCAGCCATACTCTGTGTGGAAAGGGACGGGCACAAGGGGTAAATACCAGGAGGCGAGGATCGGTGAGTGACATTCTGGAGGCTGCTCCCTCTTCAAAATCCTCTAACGGATTGCCACCCCTTAGAACAAAACACAAATGCCTGCCCGTGGCCCGCAAGGGCTGGCGGGACTGGGGCCCTACCTGCTTTCCAGGCTCATCACGCCCTTGGCCACTTGCGCTAACTGCCAGATGCACCAACCTGTCCCTCAAGGTCCCACGCTCATCCTTCACGGTCTCCACTACGTCCGCCTGGAAGCCTCCCTACCAGACTTTGCATGGTTCCTCCTCACCTTTTAGGTCTCGGCTCCAATGCCACCTCGTCAGACAGGTTCCCCTGACCACCTTACCCAAAATAGCCCCCACCCCTGCCTGCCTCTCTCTCACATCACCTCGCGTGGTGTCGCCCTCCACGGTTGCAAATGCGTAGCTACCACATGAGCGATGATCCGTAATTTACATTTTGTGGCACCGATTCGATGTATTTCCACGTGCAGTCGGTTCCGATGTCTTGCTGCGTTTCCTTCATTTCCTTCCGAGACGCCCGTTCACATCACCCCGTGTTGGCTTCTTCCCGGCACAGCGCTGACCCCTCTCTGAAATGATCCTGTGCGTCGGATTATTGCCCTTCTCCCTTCACGTGCCAGTGAGAGCCCTTGCTTTTAAGCAACAGACTCTTTCCTAGCTAGTTGAAGCTGAAGAGGAATTTATTAGCAGATAGGAAGCACCTCAGAAGTCACCAGGAGAGCAGAGAACTAGGCTTGGAGGTCATCTGTGTGGATCAGTCCTTGCATGAGCCCCACTGCACGCGCGTGCACACACACACACCACTGTTGCCCTGGTGGGCACTTGAAGCTGGAGACCACCAAGGGGATGCCTGCAGCTGCCGACTCTGGGATCCGGATGGATCTGCTGTACTCTCTCCAGAGAACATTCCTCGGCACCTGCCTCTCAGTGTCACTTGGATGCGGGCGCATCTGATGGCTGGCGTCTTGTGTCACCTTCTCTGCTCCATCTGCAAGCGAGGCTGGGAACCTACGTGGCTTCCACAGAGGGAGATGTCAGTTCATAAGGCGGCGGCGGGGGGGAGCCTCAAACCGAGGAAGAGTATATGCCGTGGTTCGGGGATGCCAGTGCATTGATGACATATATCGTGTCCCGTCTACTCTTCCGGCTCCTTCTCATCACCAACCCCTCTCTCATCCTCAGACTTCACAAACGACAACACAACCCAACGGCAGGCTGAGAGCCGCTTCTCAAAAAGAAAATAGTTACTTGTGCAAAGACTGCATGGCTCTGCTCCAAAACTTTAGGGCTTGCTGCCAGCCTCTGACCATCTCGCTCATGTCTTTATTGCCTGCCGGGAGCCCCCCTCTGGGTAAGTGCCGTGAGAGCAGGGCCTTTGTTTCTTACCTCTGTATCCTCGGGACCTAGAACGGTGCCTGGCACATCATGGCGCCCGTAGATGTCAAGTTCATGAACTGTATGCGTGAAGTCCCCTCCCACGCTGAATAAGGCAGAAATGGCAGGGTGTCACTTTCAAGCCTCGGCTCCCGTGGCCAACCGCCCTGTTCTCTGGCTGTTCCCAGCTTCAGCTTCCAGGGAGGAGAAGTCCGATCGGTCATCTTGTCTACTTGTGCCAAGCCGTAGATTGTCCGGGGGGTGGAGGGGGTGGCTATCAACTGGAGGCTTCGGGGAGGGGTGTCTGCCTACCACCCCCTGCCTCCGGGGAGGGGAGTCTCAACAGCTGCGAGATCCCGAATGTGTGCAATATGACGCCGTGTCTTGTACAACGGGGTCACGTCATGCCGGAGGATTGGATTCCAAACTCTCCGTGTAAGACTTTCTCCCATGTAGTCAGAGTCACACATGAACGTCCCTTCCGTTACCGCAAACCTCCCTCCTGCACCGCGTCACCTATCAAACATGCACCTCAGCCGGTTACGCTTCGAAGTGGGGACCGATGGCTGTTTCTCTGGGTGAGCACCAGACGGAGACATTGGATTGCCTTATGGGTCGTGTGATGTGAAAAGCACACGTGAGGTGCTCACAGTGTGAGAGACACAGGGGCCCCGACCCATTGAGAAAACCACGGGTTGCCATCACACCATCTTGTGGGCCATGTGCACCGTGGGTCACAGGAGGCGGGATCTCGGTGCTACACTGTTCTCCCCTCCCCTCCCCTCCCCTCCCCTCCCCTCCCCTCCCCTCCCCTCCCCTCTTTCTGTTTTCTCCTTCCTCTTCCCTTTTGAACACATATATACGACAAGGTTTGTGGTTTAAAAAACAAAATCCATTTGCTCCTCTTGGATTGACACATGAATAGAAGAGGAAGAAAATTAATCTGGTCCTGGTGAGAAAGCCCCGAGTGCAGAAGTAAAAGGAGGAAGCAGCGAAATCTTGTTGATAATCCCATTCTCTGAAATAGATCTCTCACGTGAAATGGAAGAAGATTTTAGAAAACAGCAATTGCCTACCGTCAGGGGGACAAAGACAGCGCCGGGGGCCTGGGGGCTCTGGTGCCTCAGCCTTGTCCCTGGAAGGTGCAGTTAATAGGGTTACGGGAGGCTGGATTATTACACAGAAGAGAGACAGAGAAACCTCTGTGATGTGTGGGGGAAACTAATGGAGAGAAGGAAGGAAGCTAAGGAAAGTGCCAGACTTCTAGGAGGAAGTGTGAACATATAGGGGGACCAGAAAATCCCTGAAATTTCTGAATAAATCAAGTAGAACAGAATCAGTGATCAAAACTTGTTTTATTTTTTCTGTCGCTCTTCCTCTTTCTTTCTCTTCCTCTTTCTCCCTTCCTCCCTTCACTCCTCTCTCTTTCCCTTTGTCTGTCTGTCTGTCTCTCTCTTACACACACACACACACACAGACACACACACACACACACACACACACACACGCGGGCAGAGTTTTGTCTGTTTTCTTCACTGCTGTCTTCCCGGAACTGAAAACAGTGGCTAGCCCAGGGGCACCTGGCTGGCTCAGAGTGTGGAACATCTCACTCTTTATCTCAGGGTCGTGAGTTCAAGCCCCATGTTGGGCCTAGAGCTTACTTTAAAACAACAAAGACAGGGGCGCCTGGGTGGCTCAGTCAGTTAAGTATCCGATTTAGCTCAGGTCATGATCTCACAGTTTGTGGGTTCGAGCTCCGTGTCAAGCTCTGTGCTGACAGCTCAGAGCCTGGAGCCTGCTTCCGATTCTGTGTCTCCCTCTCTCTCTGCCCCTCCCCTACTCACACTCTGCCTCTTTCTCTCTCAAGAGTAAATAAATGTTAAAAAAAAAAAAAAGAGAGAGAACAAGACAAAAAACCAGTGCCTAGCTCATAGTAAGCCTTTAATATTTATTATATAAATGAACAGAAGACTTTATAATGAACTGAGATGGGTCATCTCACAGTAACGAAAAGCCCACCTATTCCTCTTGGTGAAATCCCTAAACTTGATGGAAAACAATAAAGACTCTCCCAAATTTCAAACAGGAAAAAAAAAAAAAAAAGGCTAAATCGTTTTCAAAACTCTTGATAACCAAGACGAGCTTTGAACTTCACAGAGCACCAGTCACCGCCTGAGACGATGGAAGAAAACCCACAGAGTCCTGGAGGGGGTGAGTGGCTCTCAGGACTCCTGAAGCCAGGAAGACAATGGAAGGAAGTCTCCCGATGGGAACGCAGGAAAGTTGGCCTCCTGGGGCCTTGGGGGAACCCAGTGAGCTGTGAAGGGACAGCTCTCCCTCACTCCAGCGATGTTTACGGAGAGCTTCCGTGCACCTGCCTGCCCTGTTCTCCCAGGCCTGGAGTTGCAGGGAGAGGAGGCGGCGGGTCAGTGACAAGTGAAGGAACACGGCCTTGCTGCCGTGATGTCGGTGGGGCTGGCAGGGTAGCCCCACCCACCATGGGCAGCTGCACCGCTGTGACATTGAAGGTCCCTTGGCCCTGGGTGGTGACCCACAAGACAGTCTTCCAAGAACCTGTGATCACTCTGTGCCCCGCCCCCCCGGGGCGGGCTCAGGTCAGGCACCCCTTAACCCTGGCAGAGTTGAGGCGGGGACACTAAGCGGCGGAGGGCTTGACGGCGATGACATCAACAGAGCCCAGCCAGGGTGTTTGTGTTCACTGGGCTATGGGACGGGCAGACGGGTCCTTCTCTTAGATCCCCAGCCTCCAGGGCTCGGCCCTTAGGAGCCTGGAGCTGCCTTTTGTCCTTCTAGGGAAGCCAGACCAGAGGCGAGCAGTAGCTTGCTGAGCCCCAGCGTGCCAGGGCCAGGGCACCCCCCAACCCTGTCCAGGGGGCGACATCACCAGCCACGCGGCAGGAAAGGGAATGGAAAGCAATCCCTGAAGCCCAGGTCCTCGCCTCACCCCCGCACCCCCCCCCCGGCCGCTCTCCTTCCTTCCCCGCTGCTGCTGTAGCCACGTTATAGCCACAACACTCATGTGTACGTCCCCTGTCCATCCTTTCAGATGTATTTATTGCGTTCCCACCATGTGCTACCAGCCGGTAGACAGAACAGCCTCAAATCCTGCTGTTGTGGGGGTTTTGACGCCACCGAGATGGTGACCAAGGCAGATCTCTACACCGGTCACCTATTCCCAGCTCCCCGAAGCTCCGGAACAATCATCACGGACGTACCACCCAACCTGTACACGGTAAGAAAGTAAGCAGTACTTTTTGTACCTTGGGGACAAAAATAAAAACCCAGTCACTTAAGTGTCACTCCTACAGCAGCATTGACTTAATGACTAAGAAAAAAAAATACCATTGTCTGAACAAAGAGACATATTTGGCGAGTTTTATTATACTGACTGACATGCTTAATTCCCATCCCTCCGGAGGAAAGGAGGCACTGAGTGTTTCCCCCCACCCTCACCCCCCCCTTAAAAAAAGGATAAAAATAAATGACCAGAACAGACACAAAACAGCAGCCCCAGCTCCCTTCAGTCCCAAGCACTGTCTGGAGACTGACTCACCCAGGGATTGTACCCAGAGGGATGGCGACCCCTTCACCAGGTTCAGAGAAAACGGTGATGCACCTGCCGATGGAAGGGCCGGCCCCGGGGGCCTGGCCCGAGAGTAGCTAGGACTTGGGGGGGCAGGGGATGTGTGGGGAGCCCAGGCCAGTCTTCTGTTCCTCTGTCTTTGGCTCTGTCTATGGCTCTGTCTCTTCTGTCGCCCCTTTTCTTACTGTGTCCCTGTGTGTTTGCCCTGCCACCTTCCTGCCTCTCTGTCTCCTGGTCTGCCTGCTGGCCTCTCGGACCCGGGATCTCACATCTGCCTTTCCTCTCTCCCTCTGTCTGCTGAACCATGGCTGTTCTCTTCATGACCCTGACATGTCAGGTGCCGCTCCTAACTCACCCCGTCTCCAGGTTCCAAATCTGCAGGACAGAGAGGGGGCGCTTGGCATTTCCTCCGGGGCCACCCTCCCCACCGTCCCATGGCTCCGTGAGCCCACGTGCTCACGCGCAGGGCAGGGGATGGCAGGGTCCAGTCTTGCGGATGGTGGTGGGTGTGGAGTTCTCAGATACAGGGGCACACCCTGGGGAGACACCTCCAGAAAGTCTCCTATGTTGCAAACCCCCCAAAAGAGGTGTTCTTGGAAATCCCTGTGGCAGACCCCACGTGTGCTGCTCCCTTTTGCAGAGTTTATAAATATAGACAAATTTCTAAGGCTTAAAAGAGACGTATTTCACGTGTGACTATGAAATAAAATGGTAAAATAGGTCCCTGTTCTACATGATCCGGGCTGAGAGCTTTTCTAAATGCAGCCTGCCGCATTAGCATCTTCGTGGAGCCTCTTCCTAATTTAAAGATCCTATAATTATATATCATGCATTGACATTGCTGAAAATCTGTGTAGAAATGTGGCCCGGGAAGGACCTAACCAAAACATGCCGTTTCCTTGGTTTAAAATGGCCACGCTTATGCCTGGAAAAACCCTACATATTGGCAGAGACAGACCCGGGAACGGCGCTTTTTCCTATGTGCTTTATCAAGACCTCCCTGTCACCTCTCTGTGGAGGACCAGGAAGGGGTGTCGTCAGCCAGGAAGAAACACTCAGAGAAACACAGCTTCTTACATGTGGGGGCAGTGACAGTTTGTAGGTTTCGGGCACTACAGCCTTGGGGACAGACTGCAGCCGCTCCCAAATCCTGAATGCCCAGTAAGCCACGAAGAGAGGGGTCTACATTCATTTCTTTATAGAAACTACGCGCATCAAGATTCTCCCGTCCTGAATCACAGGCGGCCTGATTGTTGTTCAAGTGGCTGTTTCTCGTCCAAGGCATCTGGTGGTTCTCCTCCTGTTTCCTGGGCATTTCTTGAAGCTTTGTCTAGTTTCCAGCTGTGCCGTGAGGGCCCGGAGACGGGTGAGGCCGGGGTCTGCCCTCCCGGCCCCAGCGCGGCGGTTCTGATTTGATCCGTTTCACTTTGTTTCCTGATTTAATTTTTTTACGGTAAATATCGGTTACACAGCAACAGTCCCCTAGTCCAGCCCTTCAAAGTTCAAACTCTTGAGTTAGTTCTTTTTGTGTTTACCTCCATCATTCTCAGTAATAGGCTTACTTGATCACTCATGGATGTTTCCATTTGAACCATCGAGTCCTGATTCCTGACCTCCCGGCACGGAAGAGGTCTTATCACACTGTCTTATCACACCCCCCTCCCCCTCCACACCCCAACACCCACAGAGAGGCACACCTTTCCCCTCCCTTGCCTTCCCAAGAGAGTTTGCGCACAATGCTAATGAAATCATTTGTGTTTATATTATTCTGACTGCAGAAGACGCTGTTAATACCCCACCCATCATGGGAAGGGCACCTGACTACTGGGGGGATCAGGGAAAGATTTCTGGATGAAGTGAGAGACCAAAGTGGGAGTTGAAGAACAAGGCTGAGACAGCAAGGGGACAGGACAGCACGGGCAGGAAGTGCAGAGGCCCAGAGATGGAGAGGGGGTGCTGGAGCAGGGACTGAGGGGTGGGGAGCAGTGGGGGAATGAGAGGGAATGTCAGCAGACACGGGAGCCACTGGGGAGTTTGGCCCCGAGCAGTGTCACGATCAGATTGCATGTGGCGACAGGGCCGCCCTGTGTGGAAGGATGGATGGAAGGGGCCCCAGAAGCTGTTCCACTGGGCAAGAGAAGGTGCAGGCCCAGAGCAAGCAGTCTGCGAAAACCCAGGCACCTGACCTGGGCAGGGGGGTGGGGGTGGGGGTGCCAATCATGGGACTAGACAGGAGGAGAAGCCGGCTTCCAAGGAAGATCATGAGCTCCGGTGTGGACACACTGAGTGTGAGGTGTCTGTCGTGGCAAAACGAAAGGAAAAGGCGGGTGGGGAGCTGACGACAGGAAGGAAAGCAAGATGGCGGGAGGCAGTGCAAGGCCTACCGTGACCCCTGACTTGGAACACCTTCCAAAGCTTTTGGCAAAGTCTAATAACCCCATAGTGAGGTGTGATCACACGTGAGAAACCAGAGAAGAGGGTTCATTTTTTTATTAGTGTCCACCTAGCGCAGACAGAGAGACAACGTGTGAGAAACTCACATCCCAAGAGTCCCAAGGATCCCTGGAGATCAGAAGGAACCGGGGGAGGCCTCTGAGTTCTACCAATCGTGATGTAGGTGGTTCACCTAGATTTGCAGGTAGATAGGGAGCCCCTCACTAAATATCTCAGACTGTCACGGAGTGGCCGAGGCCCCCAGGTTGGGGTGGACACAGGAACAGGAACTGCACGCCTGGGTGGCTTAGGCAGTGAAGGTTAAGGTCTGACTTCGGCTCAGGTCACGATCTCGGGGTTCGTGGGTTTGAGCCCCGTGTTGGGCTCTGTGCTGACGGCTTGTAGCCTGGAGCCTGTTTCGGATTCTGTCTCCCTCTATCACTCTGCCCCTTACCCATTCTCTCTCTCTCTCTCTCTCTCTCTCTCTCTCTCAAAAGTAAATAAAATTAAAAAATTATGGGGCGCCTGGGTGGCGTAGTCGGTTAAGCGTCCGACTTCAGCCAGGTCACGATCTCGCGGTCCGGGAGTCCGAGCCCCGCGTCGGGCTCTGGGCTGATGGCTCAGAGCCTGGAGCCTGTTTCCGATTCTGTGTCTCCCTCTCTCTCTGCCCCTCCCCCGTTCATGCTCTGTCTCTCTCTGTCCCAAAAATAAAATAAACGTTGAGAAAAAAAAATTTTTTTTTTAAATTAAAAAGAAGGAAGGAAGGAAGGAAGGAAGGAAAAGAAAGAAAGAAAGGATGAAAGGAAGAGAAAAAGAAAAGAAAGAGAAAAGCAAAAGAAAAGGAGGACCTAGCTGAGCCAAACCCTTTGGTCCCTCCCTGGGGAGGTAGGTCCCAAACGCTGAGGAATGGAGGTGTTTCAAAGAAGAAGAGGCCAAAATGTCCGGTGGCACTGAAAAGCCGAGAATGATGAGGACCAAACAGAGTCTGCTGGTAGCGGGGCCAGGGAGTTGGGGAGGTCCCAGGGGAGAGTGGCCTCAGTGGGTGGATAGAAACATTCTGACAGGTGTCAGAATGCAGAATGGGGAGGCAACGGGAGGTAAGAAAGTAAGGCACAGAGTAGAGACAATGCTTTCTACAAACGTGGCTTTAAAGATGGTCCAGGAGCCCCGTGGTTCGATTCTCTTCCAAAGGCTAAAAGCCCTGTAATACCACTATGTAGCTTTATTGTTTCCTTCTCTTTCCAGGAAAAAATGATCTATATCTGTATCTGGATATATATTTATCTGTTTATGATTCCAAGTCCCACTGAAATCTGTGTTCCCCTTTCACACAAAGGCACATTTTACATCTTTGGTACAGAAGGAACATGGAGTGTCTTCATAAGTTCCTAGAAAAACTCCCGTCCCCAAATGGTGCCGATTACTGGACGGAGAGGGGCCTGCTTCAATGGGGAAATGGGGCTTTGATTGGAAGGGGGTTTTGCTGATTATCTCTGCTTCCAAAAGAGACTATGAAAAGTTCCTGAAGGGGGCACCTGAGTGGCTCAGTCGGTTAAACATTCGGCTCTTGATCTCAGCTCAGGTCTTGATCTCAGGGTCGTGAGTTCAAGCCCTGCATTGGGTTCAAGCTCTGTGCTCGGTGTGGAGCCTACCTGAGATGAGATAAGATAAGATAAGACAAGACAAGATAAGACAAGATAAAACATAATAAAATAAAAATAAAAATAAAATAAAATAAAATAAAATAAAATAAAGTAAAATAAAGTAAAATAAGGTCCCGAAAAACCCCCTCCCCCTGAAACAGGCTGTTCAGTGGTGGGCGCTGTGCCAAGTCCCCAGAAGGTCTAGATGAGAAGAAGTTTTGAAAAACAGCTGTGGGCAAAAGGAACGAAGAGGGAGAGGAGATTCCCAAGGGGAATATATTGAGGGGGCAGCACAGGGAGTGGGGGGGCGGCACGTCCACACTCCTCTTCTTCCGTAGTGGTAGAACACTGAACGGTCACCCAAGGACCAGAAACAAGGGTCAGGATTTGTATGCCCAGCCTGGCCAAGTCCACGGTGCACCTCCTTTCAGATGAACGAGGAGCCCCAAACCCTTCCTGGAGGGGCCCGTGCTGCCCGCAGCCTGAGCAGTGCACTCAAAATGCCGAGCTTCTTTCTCTGCACCCAGGGCCACGTTGCCTGGGACTCTGGACCCACTTGGTCAGGTACGTTCCAGCCCCATCGATGGGCCCAGTCTAGGAGGTGCCTCTGTTGGCCTCAGGGCTCCGCTGGGTGAGGGGGTGTAGGATGCTCGGCGCTATTAGGGAGATGGTGGTCTCTGCACACAGCATGGCGGTTTTGCATTTGTAATATTCATACGTCGACTTTTTTCTGTATTAATCTTTTCGCAAAGCGTTTGTGAAATATAACCTACAAAAAGGCATATAGAATAATACAGAACGCTCACGTCCCTCTCCCCAAGTGTAAGGAAAATAAAACAAATATTACTAAGAGAGTCCAAGTCCCCAGAGTGTCCCCCCGTGACTGCATCCCCTCCCCCTGCCTCGAGGCACCTGCTACCTCGAGTTTGGGGTGTATCCTTCCTACACCCCCCACCATGGCAACCCAGATGGGATGGCCCCACGTGGCCAGTCTTGCTGCACGGGGGCGAAGGGTTTGCCTCTCAGCATGGAAGTAACAAACAGGAAGAGAAATCATGGCGGCAACAAAAAAGACATGAAAACTCTAGTGACGGAAATACAATTGCCTGGGGCGCCTGGCTGGCTCCATCGGTAGAGCAGGTGACTCTTGATCTTGGAGTTGTGAGTTCGAGCCCTGCGTTGGATGTAGAGATTCCTTAAAAATAAAATCTTAAAACAGAGAGAGAGAAAGAAAAGGAAGGAAGGAAGGAAGGAAGACAGCAATTGCAGAGAGAGAGAGAGACCAGAAACTCTCTGTTACTGATACATGGGCTCTGACACAGGAGGGACAAGTCTAGTGAGTGGCCATCTTGGGACACAGAAGCCTGGGTGTGGACAACCCACAGGACACTGACAAAGAAACGGGGCCTGGACCGGGACTGAGCCGTCCCAGCTACCCGTGGCCAAGGTCTCACGGATGTCCAGCTGAAGAGGAGTTCCATGAGGCAGCGTGGTGCACCGGTTCCAGAGCCGGCTCAGTACAGGCTGGCTGGTCGATCACACTAAGCCCATTCCATGGTGACGGGTTAGTTTCTCCTCCGAGTCAGTGCTCAGATGGGGCTCCCCACCAGCCTCCCATTTGGCTCAGGAAAATAAAATGAAAGCCCTATTGGATTCTTGGGACATCTTGGAGCACTTCCTAAGGGACAGATGAATGAGAGGCTGGTGGTTGACATTTAACTACAGTTCCAACTTTATCAAATGTCTCCTTGCAATATGTCCAAGCCAGCCTAGAACTGGACTGGACTTGGTGGCCAGAGGGGCCGCCCGGCCTTCAGGCTGTGCTCCTAGCCCCTCTGCCCACCCCATGCTGGGCACAGGCCACCTGCCTGTATTGCGAAATCAGTTGCCTGAGATCCTGCCAAGGGTAGTTTTCTATTCAAAGCATCTTTCTCCTCTTTGTTCTTTGTATAGGTCCCATGGTACGGTAATCGGCTTGAGCTACCATGACAAAATACCATAGACTCCGTGCTGTAAACAACAGAAATTTATTTCTCCCAGCTCCGGAGGCTGGAAGTTCAAGATCAAGGTGCCAGCAAGGTAGGTTTCATTATAAGGCCTCTTCTCTTGGCGTGGAGGTAGGGGGCCATCCTCTCGGTGTGCTTGCCTGACCCCGTCTTTGTGCTGCGTGCAGGGGAGGGGGAGGAGGGAGAAAGAGAGAGGTGTTGTGTCTCTTCTTCTTACAAGGACATCAGTTCTGTCAGATTAGAGCCTCACCTTTACGACTGCATTTAACCTAAATTACACTCTAAAGACTCTATCTCCAAATACAGTCACATGGGGGTTAAGGTTTTAATGCAGGAATTATGGGAGGACACAACTGAGTCCACAGCACATGGACACCCAACAAATGCTCAGAATCTGGTCTGCCACTTCACAGAGAATAGAAAGAGTCAACTTTCTGTAAGTGTTAGAAATGTTCTGTATTTGTGTGGTAGTTACATAAGAGTGTGTGTGTGTGTGTGTGTGTGTGTGTGTGTGTATGTGTGTGTGTGTGTGTGTGTGAGTGCGCATAAATTATTTGAGATATATACTTAAGATTTATACGCTTAACTGTATGTATGTTACACCTCAACAAAAAAAAATTTGTAATGAACACACACGGAAGAGAAGAGAATCCAATTAAATCTGCGAGGCCTTTGGGAATGAAGAAGGTGCCCAGCGTGTCCTTAGGCTTGAAAGTGACACCAAGGGGTTACCATGCAGGAATGGAAGGAACTTAGCCTTTATTGAGCATTTTGTTTTGTCAGGGTAGTTTTGGCTATAGGAAAGGGAAGTCCACACACTGTGTCAAGTATAAAGAGTCTTAGGTTTTTTTGTTGTTGTTGTTTTTAGTTTTCTTTATTTATAGAGAGAGTGCGTGCGCGTGTGCAGGCAGGGGATAGGTAAAGAGAGAGGAAGAGAGAGAGAGAGAATGCCAAGCATGCTCAGCACCGTCAGTGCAGAACCCACCACGGGGCTCAAACTCACGAACCATGAGATCATGACCGGAGCCGAGATCAAGAGTCAGACGCTCAACCAACCGAACCACCCAGGTGCCCCTCAAGTATGAAGAGTCTTACATGAATGCAAAAGAATCTGAAGGGCCAGGGCTTACAAGGGATAGAAACTGGGTTATTCCCTCATTGCTAACTCAGTCTCTCTCTCTCGTGCACTTTCTGCCTATGCCTGTCTATCTACCCCACACCCCTCTTTGGATCTGTTTCCTCTCCTTTCTCTTCATGGTTCCAATATGGCTGCCATAGCTGTTTGGTCAGTACAAGTCTCCCTCCTCAGTTCCTACCACCAACTGTTCTTTGCTTTTTGCCTCTTAGGTCAACCTCCTGAGAAGCACTCTAGCACACATTAAAAAAAAAAATTTTTTTTTATGTTTATTTATTCTTAGAGAGAGAAAACATGAGCAGGGGAGAGGCAGACACAGAATCCAAAGCAGGCTCCAGGCTCTGAGCTGTCAGCACAGAGCCCTGTACAGGGCTCGACCTCACGAACTATGAGATCATGACCTGAGTCGAACTCGGACACTTAACCGACTGAGCCACCCAGGGGCCCCGGCCCTAGCACATGTTTTTGAGCCGGTGTCCACATGTAAGTTAGAAGACTGCCGTTGGGTCCAACCATCTGCAACAGGAAGAAGGAGGCCGTGTGGCACAGTTTGAAGTTACGTAAGGCCCAGGTCCTGGGTTAGAATAACTTGGAGAGGTGGGCAACAAGAGATACCTATCTCAAGAATGTTAAGTGCTGGGGTTTTAAGAATCTCTCTCTTTTCTTGTGCTGTCTTTGGTTTGGGCATCAAGGGAAAGCTGGTCTGAAATAATGAGATGGGAAGTGCGCTCACCTCTGGAATTTTCTGGAAGAGTTTGTGTAAAGGGGGCATTCTTTCTTCCTTAAATGTTTGGTAGAATTCACCAGTAAAGCCATCTGGGCCCGGAGTTCTCTTTGTGAGAAGGTTTCTTTAAGCTATAAATTCAATTTCTTTCATCAATATAGAGCTATTTGAGTGATCTCTTTCTTCCTGAGTTGACTTTGGGAGTTTGAGTCTTTCCAGAAAATTGCTCATATCGTCGAAGTTAAGGAGTTGATTGACATAAAATTGTCATAATAAAAATGGCATAATGACATAAAATTGGCTAGTATCCTCTTATTAGCCTTTTAATATCTGTACAATCTGGAGCGGTACACCTCTCACATTCTTTTTTTTTTTTTTTTTTTAATTTTTTTTTTCAACGTTTATTTATTTTTGGGACAGAGAGAGACAGAGCATGAACGGGCGAGGGGCAGAGAGAGAGGGAGACACAGAATCGGAAACAGGCTCCAGGCTCCGAGCCATCAGCCCAGAGCCCGACGCGGGGCTCGAACTCACAGACCGTGAGATCGTGACCTGGCTGAAGTCGGACGCTCAACCGACTGCGCCACCCAGGCGCCCCTCTCACATTCTTGATATTGGTAAATTGCGTTTTCTCCATTTTTCTCCTGGTCAGTCTGGCTAGAGGTTCATCAATTTCATTGATTTTTCTCAGAGAACCAGCTTTTGGTTTTGTTGATTTCCCCTATTATTCTTTTTTTCTATCTCACTGATTTCTTCTTTGATCTTTATTATTTCCTTTCATTTGCTTCTTTTGGATTTAATTTATTCGTTTTTTTCTAGTTTCTTAAGGTAGAAGCTGGAATCATTGATGTGAGATCTTTTCATTTTTTTTAAAGTTTTTACATTTATTATACATTTATTTTGAGAGAGAGGGAAAGAATAGGGGAGGGGCAAAGAGACGGGGAGAGAGAAACCCAAGCAGGCTCCGAGCTGTTAGCACCAAGCCCTATGTGGGGCTCGATCTCACGAACTGTGAGATCATGACCTGAGCTGAGATCAATAGGCAGGTGCTTAGCCAGCTGAGCCACCCAGGCGCCCCTCCTCTTTTCTAACAGAAGCATTTAGTGCTGTGAGAACACAGGTCCTCGATGACAGTCTGTGACTTGAGCCCTGGATCAAGTCTCATCTGAGGCCAGCCTAAATCCAGACCACTGGTTCTCAACTTTGGCTACACATTAGAGCCACCTGGTAAGCGTCAAAAGCTACCCATGCCTGGGCGCCACCCCAGGCCAATTAAGTCAAAATCTTTGGGAATGAGCTCCAGAATGAATCCTTGTCAAAACTCACCAGGTGGGTCTAACGGGAAGCCAGGATGGTGAATCACCACCATACCAGGCTAGCGCTTCCCAAACTGTCTTTAACAACGGCATTTTTGATTCCAGTTTTATATTCCTACTATCTTGCTGACTGGTTCTGGGCAACATACAATAAAAATGAACCATATGGCTTCTAGAAGTTTCCCTCACGAAAAGTGGGACTTCTGTTGCCTCTTAAATCGAGGTGTTCTCATTATCCTTAATTATTATCAACAACAGAGGAAAGGAAGTTTGTCGAAACACGATTATGCCCAAAGTCAGTTCAACAGTATAGTTGTATCTCACTGTGGAACAACAACGGACAGTTTGTGGACCATTCTGGTCCATGGACCATGCTTTGAATGGTACTGTCGAAATTTCTTGATTGTATGAGCCAATAACTTCTTTTGATTGTTTAAACTTGAGTTGGGGGGCGCCTGGGTGGCGCAGTCGGTTAAGCGGCCGACTTCAGCCAGGTCACCATCTCACGGTCCGTGAGTTTGAGCCCCGCCTCGGGCTCTGGGCTGATGGCTCGGAGCCTGGAGCCTGTTTCCGATTCTGTGTCTCCCTCTCTCTCTGCCCCTCCCCCATTCACGCTCTGTCTCTCTCTGTCCCAAAAATAAATAAATGTTGAAAAAAAAATTTTTTTTTTAAATAAAAATAAAAATAAACTTGAGTTGGGTTTTTGGTTAGAAGGGGAAGCTTCCAGAGGCGCCTGGATGTCTCAGTCGGTTACATGTCCCAACTTCGGCTCTGGTCACGATCTCACCGCTCATGGGTTCAAGCCCCGCATCGGGCTCTGTGCCGACAGCTCAGCCCCCGGAGCCTGCTTCAGATTCTGCATCTCCCTCTCTCTCTGCCCCTCCCGCGCTTGCCCTCTGTCTCTGTCTCTCAAAAATGAATAAATATTTAAAAAAAAAATTTTTTTTAAAAGAAGAGGAAGATTCCAGCTGAAGTGCCCTACCACAGATGTATCCATCTATTTTGTTCACACATTATTCTCTCTTTCCCACACAAGAGCTGCAACCATCCCAGAGTATGTATACGGTCTTGGCTTGCTTGATGATGACTGTGTGATTACTATGTAACCTCACTGTGGCTCACTTTCTGGAGCTCAGCCAAGAGGATACGAACTTCCTTTCCTCTTTTATTCTTTTTATTATTCTTTTTATTCTTTTTAGTATTCTTTTTATTCTTATTATTTTCTTTTTATTCTTATTATTTCTTCTTCTTTTCTTCTTTTTATTATTATTTTTTTAATTTTTTTCAACGTTTATTTATTTTTGGGACAGAGAGAGACAGAGCATGAACGGGGGAGGGGCAGAGAGAGAGGGAGACACAGAATGGGAAACAGGCTCCAGGCTCTGAGCCATCAGCCCAGAGCCCGACGCGGGGCTCGAACTCACGGACCGCGAGATCGTGACCTGGCTGAAGTCGGACGCTTAACCGACTGCGCCACCCAGGCGCCCCTCTTCTTTTTATTATTAAGTAATCTCTACACCCAACGTGGGGCTTGAATTCTTGACCCCGAGATCAAGAGACACAGGTTCTTCTGACTCAGCCAGCCAGGCACCCCCCACTCTTTCCGCCATTGTTGATAACGCTAAACAAAACTGAGGACACCCAAGTTTGAGAGGTAATAGAAGCACTGTTTCTTTTTATCTTTTATTTAAAAAAACGTTTTTGTTCTTTTAAAAAAGCTTTTTAATGTTTAATTTTGAGAGAGAGAGAGAGCCCACACACGCACCAGGGCACAGGCTCCTGAGCTGTCAGCACAGAGCCCGACGCGGGGCTCGAACTC